ATGGTTTCTTCTGTTTTTTACTTTTTGCTAGCTCTTCATAAATTGACAAAACCAAAGACATGCTTAGGTTTCTTACAGTTTGGCAGCTTTTGTAACTTTTTTTTTATAAAAAAACCCCCCTCTAAATTTATTTTGTAATTATTGTATGTCTAAACTGTACTTTGAATATACAAAACATGGTAATTTTATGACATACCAAGTTAGACACAATACATTTTTATGTTTCTAAAATAACAAAGTGATATTTGATCTGTAAAGGGTGCTAAAGAATGTATTGAAGATTTTTCAGTTTTCCCCAAATTTGTGTTTTGCCCTGGGGGAAAAATCTATTTCTCCCATGGCTTCAAAATTTATCACTCCCCCCCCTGCCCCCCCCGGTCAAATGTGGGCCTGCATGGGGCGTGGGTGGCCTGATCTATTTTTTATTCATGATCTGCTCAGGGATCCAACTCCTTGCTCTTGGTTTCTCTCCTGGCTGCTCCCACTTGATTGACAATAGGCCATCCTTGACAATGTTTCCACTGTAAAAGCAGGTTCTTTTAATCCCAGATAACACCTGTGCAGGATAATGAATTCTTCTGCTGGCTTTAAGCCCATTAAAGCAGCTTCCTGATTCTTTGAGTTCAAAATCGTTTGTCAGAAGAAGAGAATGCAGCTGAAAAGAGCTGTGTCCTCTTCCCATGGCGCTTCCTTTAGAACAGGGATGGAGAAACCTTTTCAACCCAAGGACTACATTCTCGTGTTGGGAACCTTCTGGGGAATGCATGTCAGAGACAAAGTGGGTGGAGCAATGGATATGGCTCTTACTTTGAATAGTCGGCTGTATTTAAGCCTCACAAAAGTCAGAGGTTTATATTTGCATACTAGGGTTGCCATACGTCTGTTTCCCCCCAGAAATGTCCTCTTTTTCAGGTTTAAAATGTCTGTCTGGGTGGATTTTTAAAATTTGGCAGAATGTCCAGGGTTTTTTTGTTTGGTACCATTACAGGTCTTGTGTGGTTGTTTTGGGTTGTTTTTTGTTTTGCTTTTCTGCCTGTGGGATCTCCCTCCAAGCCCCCCTGGATCACCTTACACAACCTCTCTTCCCTCTTCTGCTGCAGGGATAGACAGGGACCAGCTCACTTTCCCCTCTTCCTTATCAACAGTTCCACTTCATACTTCCAGGAATCTCCCAAGAAAAAAAAAAGCAGGCAGGGGAGGGAGGCTGCCAGGGTTTACACAGCCACTTCCTGCCAGTCAAGAGCCTGCCAGCCACCCCTGCCAGCCAATGAAAGTTCTGACCATTCATAAAAATAAATACTCTTGCCACACTCCATCCCAGCCACACACAGGCACCAGGAATCCAAACCTCTTTCTTTCTCTTCCCCCCAGCATGTCAGTTTCCCTGTGAAATATACAAGCTCCTCTTGGAACTGGAGCAGCTCAAATATTATTCTTGTGGCCCTTGCTCTCTTTCCTGCCCTCTCCATCCCTCCAGCTCCCAGCACAATGCAGCCAGCAGCAGCCACATGCTGACATGAGATGCACGTTCACTGGCTCTCGCTGTCTTCCTCTAGCCCTACCAACCAGCCCTGCTTTACTCTGCTAATCTGGAAGGTATCAGGTGTGTGTGGAGGGGAGGATGTGGCCGGGAGAGAGAGATGAATTGGCCTAGTTTGGGAAGAAGCTTTCCATCCGGTGTGCTCCAGGCACTTAGGGCATTTGCAGACTCTGCTCCTTTCACCACTTCCCCCTCCCAACCTCAACCCGCCTCCCTCGCCAGCATTGCAAGTATGGCAAAGGCACACTAACTGAGTGGACTCTGTTTCGGCAGCACATTTCACGATTGGGAGAGGATTTTTAAATTTTGATCTCCCACCCCACCCTCTCTCCCTTATATCCTCCCTCTCTCCCTTATTCCACTCTTTGCGAGAAACACACAGGCACCTCAGTACTTTCACGCCTCCAAAGGTAAGTGAGTTTAAAACAACAACAACAGTGAGAGCAATAATAACCCCCAACCCCTGTTTTATATTGTTGATGCCAGAAGTGGGGAGCAGGGGTGAGATTGCAAAGGTGGGAAGAATACGACAAGACCAGCCCACTCAGAGCTGAAAGTGAGGGACAGTCAGTGCCTGGGTAACTTTGGCTCCTGATTCTGTCTAACGAGAACTATTGTGATGCTTTTCTTGTCAGGTGCTAGTCAGTCTAGGAGGAATAACTATCTCCAAGTTTTAATTTTGTATCCTCGTCATTAAGTATTATTATGATGGCTATTTATTTATTTAGGGAAAGAATGGGAATCCAAATTATAAGCAGGCAGCATGGTGGCTTTGGTTGCTTTGGAGGGGTGGGGGTAAACAAGGACCAGATCTGCACAAATTGGAAATCTGACCAAAAAACTAATTGAAGAAAATGCGAACTTCCATAACATTTAACTTTTGAGAGCTGGCTTCTGGTTAATGTGCTATCTATGTGGCTGTTGTAATTAAAACAGAATAATATAAACAGCCAACTTGCCACATTTGGGACTTTTCCATTTCCACCACACATGCCTTATGGCACCACATGCCTTAAAACCCAGTGGGATTGCACAACTGGGAGTATTGGGAGGGAAGTGGTAAATCAGCAGGATTTTTAAATTCAACTAACACAATAGAAAATTTCTTTAGGAGCTGTAGCAAAACCTTGCTTGGTAGTCCTGGTTTATTTCTATATATGAAAGTTAAGAACATTGCCACTAGCAATATATCACAGCTTCTATAGCCTACATATAGTAGGGGTATTTAAAATGAGAGACATCATAGTGATCCATAGTTAAAAGTAGAAGTTGGCAAATGTGTCCTCTTTTTTGCTCTTCAAAATATGATAATACTACTGCACACACACCCCTCCATTCACACAAGCACATAGCATGCTCATAGTTCAATGAAACATTCCAGCAGGGCAAATGCACTGAAGCAGGGTGGGTAAGGAGATGTGGCCAAAGGAGAGTCCTGAGTGCTGGGTGCGGAGCCTTGAAGGTTGCTCCTGGGCCTAAAGTTCCTAAGCCCCCTTCTTTAGAACATGAAAACTTGAATGCTTGAGGGTGTTCTGAAAAGCTGACATTTAGAAGGTCATGATCTACTGAGAACCTTTTCCCAGCCAAATTCCTTGCACTCTGCTCAGGTGGTATTTTGCCCAAAGGTAGATTTGGTCTTGTGCTGCAAAGGAGCATGGGGTGGTGGGGACCCCCCTTTTTAAACAGCTGAAAACCAGCCTATTGGCCATTGGACAGTGAAGGCAGGGGCAGGTTGGCAGACTACATCCAGTTTTCTTTCCCTTGTACAGATGATCAGAGCATTCACATATATGAAATGACTCTCTGTGCAACCCAAACTATTGGGTCCAGAGAGAGGAATATGCATGTCAACTCAATTTGATGATGTGGTGCCCCATGCAAATCCCACACGTTTGGGAATTTCTTCCTGTGCATGAAGTGCTGGATCAGAGCATGGGAGCATGTTCTGATACTTGTATGCTCCCCATCCATCCTACCCATACCATAGAAGGCTGATGAAGGATCAATAATCCCGTAAATATTTGAACCCAATATCTCTGTTGGCTACATAAATTTGGTCAAGCTTAAAAAGTTAAAGTGGAACATGTCTTTTTTATTTATAACTGCAGCAGAAGTTTTAAAAATGAATTTTCAACCTCACTAAGAAAATGAGTAGACAACCTCAGTTAGGTTTAAGCAGTGCTTTGTGACTATTGCCTTAATTCATAAACTAAGACACAGAAAGGCAGCCAAGCTAGTTTGTTGGAGCAAGCACAAAAAAGAGTCAACAGGCACCTTAAAGACCAACTGATTTATTGTAGCCATCAGATGCATTAGACAAAATGGGCCCTAGTCCTTGAAAGCTTATGCCATAATAAATCCAGTCTTTCTGGTTCTGAGATATTGGTGGAGAATAGATTCATAGCCTTGTTAGACAAGTACTGAAACTGCTCCCCCATTGCCTGCCATAAAACTAGGAGGAAACACTAGGCAACCTACAGACCTGGCATGTGCCCAATCTTGGCACTTGAATGTCATGCATGCTAACAACCCAATCTAACACATGCTTGCTTGGAAGGTAGTCCCCAGATTAAAGCTTTAGCTGTTGTGTGGTGTACATTCGGTCTTAGCCTTATGTCCAGCCTTGTATTTTTGGGTGAGGATTGTGTTGCTTGAATTATTCAACAGTTTACATGCCAGCCATCCCATCCGCCCATGATTTTCCAGTTCCTCTCCTCTCCTACCACAGCTTGGCTTGTTCTCTGAACAGGGGTGGTAAGTGAAATGAAGGCCTCCTTCCTCCTCCCAGGGTCTGACGTGCTGCTATGCAGCATTCCAGATGCAAGTAGACATGGGAAATCAATTTCCCTTAGCGCTACGGCCACCACCTTTGGAGAAAACTCAATTTCCCAGATTTATTTGCATCTGACACACTTTGCAGCAGCATACTAGATGCTGGAGCAGGGAGAGATGCCCCTCTCACTTTCTGCCAGTGAAACAGCTTCATAAGTGAATAAGAGTGAAAGAAGAGAGAAATTGGGGAAAGGATGAACTGGGATCTGACTGTGTTACATCATTAACTAGGATCAGAACAGGGTTTGAATTGATTTTTGAATTGACTCAGATCATGCCGAGCAATTTACTGTCTCCTTTTGAATGGTGTAGTTCAGCTTAGCTTGATCTTATCCAATTCAAATTTGGGAGAATTCATCCCTTGCTTGAAGTATCCGAGTCCTGCATTGCTGACAGCCATGGTCAATATTCATGAATTTGAATTGATTGCTTTTTAAAATTGGTATCTTTTTGGATCCTTTTGATGCCCTCTAACCTAATGTTTGTTACTCTATTCCAGGCATATATTTTTTTTCAATATCATTTTTTAAAAAACAAAAAAGACATGACTTATTTGTACACATTTCATATCACCAGATTTTGTTTTGCGAGCGCTGCATTTTTCATATCATTCCATTCATTTGTGTAGTTCCTTGAAAGGACAGAAGAAAGTCGGACTCTGACAGAAGCTTTCAATGACCAGACAAACAGCCAGAGTGGCCAATCTACTGAGACACCCAATGAGGTGGGATTTTTGTCTAGTGTATTTAAATAGTTTTAATAGCCCTTTCCTTTTGGAATATACAGGTCTGAGCTTCAAGTGACTCAGTAAGTTTGCCCTTGTAGAAATTTGGTTGACTTAGTTTGTGCTTTGGCTCACTTCAGCTGCCCGAAGCTATTTGCTCTGCAGGCAGTCCAAGGTTTCTAATACCAGCTGCACTACACTGAGATCTCTTCTGGCAATAGAGACCTTCAGTCGGTTACTTTGTTCCATTGTTTTCCCTCCTATTACTGTATTTCACCACATAATGGTCACATTTTTGTGTGCCGATTTTTCATTTCCAAAAAGGGTACGACCATTATGAGGTGAATTATGGTAAGGTGGTTGGAAGCTGGTGAGGTGGCTGGAAGCTAGCGTGTCCCAGAGTGCGGGTCCCTCACAAACCTATCCCCCCCGCCCACTCGCACTGCCCTCATCCAACCTGCCTCAGAAGGAAAAATCCTCATATGCTCGTTCACCCACATTCAACTCCTTGCCACCCAGCTGCTTCTCCTCAAACTCAAGCACATCCCTCTTTCTCTTCCTCATGCTGGGTCTGGGACTGTGCAAGAGAGGCATGCAGGCAGCACCACAAAATTTGGCCAAGGCACCAGAGTTGTCCACAGGGAGAGTGAGAGTAGAGGAGCCTTGGTGATCACAGGCTGCAATTTTCATGTTTTTCGCTTGACCTCCTTTCCAGCACTGCCATAATCCCTCCTCAGAGCCATCACCTCTGCCCCCTGACCATGTACAGAAATATACTGGTACTGATAATGCACATGCTGAGAATTACCCCTTCAGCTATTATGTGGAGGAATGCTCTGGGACCAATTTCAGGGTCTGATAAAGGGGTGTGTGATTATTACACAGCGGTGACCAGTATGCAGTGAAATACTTTAGTGCTTATCCTCCCCACTGCCCTCCTGCTCACAGTGTCCATAAGTTGGTAACACTGCATTACTTTAGTCCTGGCCATCTTTGCTTAAGTCATTGTTGGGGAACCCCTGCACCGTGGACCTAATTAGGCCCAGAATTTGATCCATGATACAATTTCCTCCGAAGCCACACTCACCTGCTCTACACCCAACGTAATGTATGACATCAGGTTTGGGGGAAGTAAAGACAGGGCTCCCTGCTGAAAGCAGCCTTTTCAGACACTCCTGATCAGCTGATCCAATGGCATGTGCGACACCTGCTCCTTTACCAGTGTGGTTTGAAGCTGTACAGGCAAAGGAACAGGGCGTTGCAAGTGCAAATGGTCAGCTGATTGATTTCAAAGAGTGCAGTTAACAGAAAACACATCACATGGCATCATGGTTAAATCAGGTGACTGACAAGTGGGCAGCTATGCCCAAATGTCAAAATGGTTCACAGGGCTTAAGTCATAGGACTGTAAGAAGTTGCCTTGTACCAAATCAGAACACTGGCATATCTGGCCGACTGACAGCTGCTCAGCTGTCCACGGACACAAGTCATTTCTAGCCATATTTGGAGACGCTGAGGGCTGAACCTTAGAACTTCTGCTGCAGGCTTTCTTACTAAATGGAAGAGGTGTCAGAGTTATGAGCAGCACAGCCTACAACAATCATATCAACAAGTGTGGTGAAGCAGGCAGTGTGCCAGGTTACCTGGAGGAACAAATACTTCTTGTCTTGCATAATTAATTGGGCCCTCGGAGCCCCTGCCTAGTGAGGTATGACTGGTGGCTCACCACCTTTTGGTGATAGCAGCCCAGCTGTGGAGTGCAGAAAAGTGACTTAGTAGTGGTGAAGATATTTTGGTCATTTTTTTTAAAAAAAATTTAAATAACCATTTAAAATTGGGTTAAAATATTGTTGCTACTACTCAAGAGTCTGGAATTGTTCTTCTTCGCAGCTCTTGGAATTTTTTTTAATAGGGCACTATATGTTCTTATTTTTATGGTTTCATAATTGCATTTTAATGGTTTACTATTGTAAGTGGCCCAGCACATGCAGTGCTGTTAATAAATAATGGGTTGTATCCATTTTACTATCCATTTTACTATTTTACACACAGCGGGTGGTGCTGTGGGTAAAACCTAGGACTTGCTGATTGCAAGGTCGGCAGTTCGAATCCCCGCGGCGGGGTGAGCTCCCGTCATTCGGTCCCAGCTCCTGCCCACCTAGCAGTTCGAAAGCACCCCTAAGTGCAAGTAGATAAATAGGAAGGTAAATGGCATTTCCGTGTGCGGCACTGGTGCTGGCTCGCCAGATGCCGCTTAGTCACGCTGGCCACGTGACCCGGAAGTGTCTGCGGACAGCGCTGGCTCCCGGCCTCTTGAGCGAGATGAGCGCGCAACCCTAGAGTCGGACACGACTGGCCCGTACGGGCAGGGGTACCTTTACCTTTTTATCCAACTACATTTTATTCAGGATAGACCCAGTAGAATCAATGGACCTGAGCTAGTAATATCCATGAATTTAAGTGGGTATACTCTGAGTAGGGATTGCATTGTATATAGCCTAATAACTTTCCCTCATCTGGGTTTGGCAAGAGCAGCTCTGAATCAGCATGTTGCACTGGTACTGAAAGCTCTGCACTGGATGTCAACATGTTCCCAAGCCAAGTTCAAGGGTTACACTGTTAGTGTATAAAGCCATAAATAGCCTAGGACCTGGTGGCATTGTCCCTTCTGCACAGGCCATATCACTGCAGTCTTCTGAAGAGTCGCTCCTACTGCCTTGTTAGTGAAGTTCGCACATGAACTAAGCCTTTTAGCATAATGACAGCAGTACTTTGGAACACTTTTCCTATTGAAATCAGATAGGCACCTATAATTTTGTTATTTTGTCATCTGCTGAAAAAATGTTTTGCCAGGTGTTTTTAGAGAATAAGGTGCCAGGTGTTTTTAGAGAATTTAGAGAATTAGATTCACTTTTGCTATGTGTTTTACGGTTTTATAATCTTATGTTTTAATAATTTTATTGTACACTACCATGATTTTTTTAAAAAAATTGAGTTGGCTTTTAGTAACTACTTCTGTAACAAACAAACAAACAAACAAACAAACAATAAAATAAAATAAAATGTAGGCTTTATTTTTAATGAGGGCTAATTGTAATTTGGCCTTAAGAATTATCTTAATGCACGTGGCTGCATCTAAGGGGCTGGATAGTAAAACCTTCACCATTTGTAGGGTAAAAATACCCTAAACAAATTGCACTTGAAATGAGCAAGCTCCCAGAACCACCCAGGAAAAATGACTAAAAAGTAAGGCTATGTTCCTTTAGTGAATTAATCCTCTCATTTATTTGATTTTTTTAAAATGTACTGATTGACTTTAAAAGGTGCCCCTCCTGGATTAATTGCACAACAGATTTAATAATAGCGGTGGTAATGGTAGTCATAGCAACATCAGTAGCAACTGTAATAAACAACTATTTTAATTACAGTCACATATAAAATTAAATGAAGTATTCCATCCTATGTGGGAAAATTGGGAGATGCCTCTTCTAAGATGCGACCTGCATATTACATAGGAAAACAAAGTATTTCGTAAAATGCTAGATCGATTATTATTTGGTCATATTCAAATTTATGCAGAATTAGTTCATTCATTGACTAAAACATGGAGGATTAATCAACCTAAGATTACTTTAATGGAGGGATAGCTTTTCTAAAAAGTATTGGAGCCTTCACTTTCTCATGAGAGATACTTTCAAGGAAACCTTGTTAGTTCCCCTATGACAGCTCTTTATTTCTTTTTCTTCCACCCTGAAGAAACCAGTATCAAATTGGTGTTCATTAGTGTTGATACTAATGAGTGGTATGTGGAATAATTTTACTGAGACTGTCTTTTCTAATGTAGATTAATCCCCTCCAAGAAGATAAAGCCTTATTATGTAAAGATCACAGCCCCCAAAGTAATAGAACACTGACATACCTGTCTCTAGTTATTATTTTTAAGAAAAGAAGTAAGTGCATTTTTCTTTTTAGCAGGCAACTCCTTCGGATTATTCGGATATACAGTGTCTGAATCTAAATAAGCCTGAGTTTGAACATGAGCTGGCTGATGGCAAATGCTTTGGCAGAAGCACAACAGGGGAAAAAGGCGAAGCTCGAGAGAGTGGTTTGCTCATGTCTCTTTTAAATGAAAATGGAGTGGCACTGCTTGGATCTAGGTAAGCGGGTGGCTTAGACACGACACTTTTAACAGTTCTATTGCAAAAGAGAGGAAAGCAATTGTGTTAAAAGTGAATTTAGATAACGGAGCTCTCTAATTTACCTGGGAGATTGGCAAGCCTCCTTCAGAGTCGTTTTAGTCCATCATGCAATTAAGTAATTAGGAGATGTAAAGCACAGTCAGAGACATCAGTTACAAGATGCATTTTCCTTCATGGCAAGATGGCAACATACAGGGAATCAGATAAACTATACAAAATGACAGAGCAAAGACCTCACAGTTCCTTCCAAGCAAATAGAAGAAGATTGTCCAAATGGTTGGGAGTTGCAAAGCTTTGAAAATTGAGAGCTGGGAGTAGTTAAATCATGCTCCTGCCCCAAAGTTACAAAATGCCCACTCCCATTCTTGCGGCCTGCAAATAATAGGAAGGATTCCAGGAAAGAGGGGCCTAGGAAAAGAAGACCTCAAAACTTGCTTCCCGTGACCACCTGTCTGATGGAAACAATCTTTATGATTTATGTTTGAATATTGCTGAATGTGATTTCATCAATGTATTTTGATTTATAAGCTGCCTTATTTATATTCTGAAAGGCAGAGTACAAATAGTTACAACAAATAAATGGTACTGGTTTAGCCCTAGATAGGACCCTCATTGATCCACACTGCATTTATGGCAGTGATTGCTGCATTATATGAATGTGATTAGGGAAATTCAGAGAGAGCTGCTACTTCGTTTGAAGCCAGGGGTCACTAATGCTCAGCAGCCAGATTCCTTCTGAAATGAATGATACTAATTGCTGTTCATCCTTCATCAGCTGAAGAGCATAAGTTAATATTAGTCACCAAAGCAATGTAGAATGGCAGATGAGAGATCTTCAGATACGAATCTAGAACATTGCCACCTTTCTCAACCTTACATAAAAATTTGCTATGGAGCATTTCCCTTCCAGCATTTTTAGGACTCTGATACACCATTCATCCTAATGTTTTCCTGTAAATTCTCTCAGCCTGATTGGTGCCAAGGCAATAGTGCTGGGTAACTTACTTCTCATGAATGGCATTAAAAACACACTCAGCATTCTTTCTTTCAACTGCCAGCCTTCTAAATGTCTCTTGTTTTCAGTCCTGGCTTGTATTTCAAATGGCACAAAACAACTCTTTATTGATATGCTTGAAATTAACGACAAGATTTGTTTTGGAGTGTAATGTCCTTCTATTTAGTTTCCATTGGATTGTGAAATTGCTTTCCAAGCTGACATCCATAAGCCTTTAGCAGTATACAGAGCTATGCCTGGAAATTTACTAAGTTGTCTATTGCTTCTGATGGAGTATGCTTACAACATGTTTTCAGACTGATTTGTGGTATTAAAACAGAAGGCAGCTTAACTGTGTGGGGATTCCAGAGGTTGCCAGTATGGCACCCACAGGCAGCGCTTACAGATTTCTTCCCTGGTGCTTGCAGGGTCCCCTCCCTGATCCTACCCCATAATTTACACTAGTCTTTAAACAAGCATTCTAATGTAGCCTATGGAATAGGTTGTGGCATGTACTTGGTGTAGTTTTTTCCTCTGGTTTACAGTGAATATGGCTATGGGTCCCAAAAGTTTGGCAGTCCCTGGCTTAAACTTTCAGACTCTACAGTCTTGGGACTGAGGGGAGGAAGCAGGGTCTTAAATCCTTTCTCCCCCATCATGGTCCTGGAAATAAATAAAAAATCTATTAGAAGCAGGTGAGTGCATTATAAGGGAACCCTCCTTTCGTGCGATTAGGCACTTTCCTTGAAACTGAAATAGTAGCTTCTGAGAAGTTGAAACCATGTCAGAGTCAGAGAGAGTTAAATTCCACCTCTCCACCATCCATGATCTCAAGGGATGTTGTATAGGCTTTCCTATTACTAGTTATACGTAACCAAAAGTAATCATTAATCACATTGATGCAATTAATGCCGTGTCTGATTTGGCCGCTAGAACTGTAACTTTAGGATTATTTTATACCTGAGACTTCTACTGCCAAACCCTCTTTCTCAGTCCTGCTCAACTTCTGAGTAGCAGTAGTGTTTTGAGAAGGTATTTCTTTGTAACTCATCCTGGATTTCTCCAAGTCACGTATCTGAGATTTCTTTCTTTCAACAATTTATTTTACTTCTTTCATCAATTTATATACAACTTAATTACAATAGTCTGCAGGTGGTATATATCTGACACAAAGTGATATTATGAAATATGTGTGAATTCTTTTTAATGATTTTATAATGTAAATCATAGAAGATAATATTGTTTTCTTATCGTTACTATTCTCCCCCCACCCCCCACCCCGGGTAAAACTAGAGAAGAACAAATACAAATTGCAAATAACCTGTTAGATCATCTGAACACAAGCGAGCAAGACAGTTCAAGTGGCCATCTAGAGAATAAAGATGAGAAAGATCTTAAGCAACTGATTATTCAGCTAAGAACTGAACTTGAGCAGCAAAGGCAAGCAAATAAATTCCTGAAGCTGCAAGTTGAATCCAAATCTACTTTGACTGAGGAAGAAGGGCTTGATCCCAAAACAATGCTACAGATTAATGTGGATATTGGATCATCAAAAGCTAAAGTGAAAACTGTAGCTACTCAAACAGGGACTGTTGAAGGTAACATCGTGGGACTGAAACATGAAGGCCAAATAGCAAGCTCTGAATACAAAGCAGCATCTGCAAGATTAAATGAAGAACCTTGGTGGGAGAGAGCCTCTGTGAAGAGTGAACAGCAAGAGATCCTTCGGCGTACAAGGAAAATGAACAAAGTGAGTTTGTTTTAAGGTGCTAAAGCTCCTTTTTAGAGTGTGAAAGAGTTCTCTCCACAACCAATAGGGTTGTGTTGTTTTTTGGAGGCGGAATTACCTAAAGACTGGGGCAGGGGTCGGCAAGGTTTACCTCGCCTGGGCCGGTTCACTCCCACGGAGATCACTCTGTGGGCCAGATCGCGTCTGTGCAGATGCGATTTCTGGCACTGTGGAAGCGAGTCCCTGCTCCACATTGTGCCGGTTTAGCACAGCGCGCAGGGACTCGCCGAGCGGGCGGCTCGGTTCGGGGGCGGCTCGTGGGCCATTTAAACGACCCCCGTGGGCTGCTTGTGGCCCATGGGCCGCAGGTTACCGACCCCTGGACTAGGATGTCAAAAGATACTTAAGATGCTTATGCATATTGTATACATCAGCCAGTTTTTAAAAGCAGTGTTACATCTGGCACCTGAACTCACGGTTTGCATGTTTGCTGCTGAGCTCCTTTTTCTAAAGCTGCAGCATCTGCATCTGAGTTCTCTTAAAAGGCTTTTGCATTAAACACCTTGTGGTGCACCTTAGTTACTTTTTAAAATTATTAAAAGTATTTATAAAATTCTGCCATCTCAAAATTTTGGGTGTGGTGTACAGCAATATGTATGGAAGAAGACATAAAACAAACAGTACAAAATCATTGTTAAAAAGACTGACTACTCAAGAAAGTTTTAAACTGTTACATAGACCTGTTGGCATAGAAAGGTTTCTAAGAGCTGTCTTAAATGTGTACAGGAGGGGGAGGGGGACTAGGCATTGCTAGGAAACAGGTTGACATTGCTAGGTTTGGTCTTGGTCTTGCATGTCACTGAAATGTTGGTCACAGTCAGTCACAGCAAGCACAAACCTAGTAGAGCTGCATGATTTGAGGTGAGGGCTTTGGGCAGGATTTAGGCTTAATAGAACCAGGTGGCAAAGCTGTGATGTTGTTTCAGGAGCAACAAGACTGAGCTCTATGTAGTAGCAGCAGCAGCAGCAGCAGCAGCAGCAGCAGCAGCAGCTGCTGTGTCCCAATTGTTAGCTCTGCCCCCACTGGGAGATGCCTCTTCAGTTAAAAGGGGCCAGCCTGCTCTGATAGTCTTCTGCTCCAGTGGAGCAGAAGACTAAGTCAGAGGGAAGGCAGTGCTTCTTATCTTTATTATTTATTATTATTATTTATTATTATTATTATTTATTAAACAATAATATCTAATATTATTATTTAATATTGGTAATCTTAGGGTGGTTCACAACATAAATCTGAATTGTGTGTGTGTGTGTCCTGGTTCACAGGTCACCTACTCTTTAATTGTACATTGTAACTAGGAGTAGGGTGTTTCTTAGGAGTGTGTGTGTTGCACCCCTCCCTCGGTAAAATGTTACCCCCTTTCAGTTAAGGTTCGTTTGCAAAATATTCAAGGCTGGATTTTAGTGACCATTGTTTTCTTATACTTATCTTCCCTTCTCAACTTACTCACATTTTTCTATGTGTCATTTAGAGTGATCCATGCCAGCCATTCAAGAAATCCTGTTTGCCTGTTTTACTGAAATTATCCAAGTCATTAGAAAGCATCTCCTTAAAGGACCCTATCTGGAAGCCAGACATGCAACTTCAGCATCGCATCTTTGCCTTGGATGAAGATCTGAAGGGAAGAATTATGCGGCCACGTAATGATGAATTGCAGCCAAGTGAAGTTGTGAGTGAGAGATCTGCTCAGGAAGGGATATTACTAGGAGGTAAGCAAGCAAGTACAGTTGAAAATAATACAGAAAGCATGCAATGGCATTTCGTTCTTTTTGTGGTTGTGTCCAATTTGAATTCCACAGCAATATCCAGGGTTAGCATTGCTTCAGCAATCAATAAGCTGCAAGTTTAAATGCTGTGTACACCATTCAGTTTTACCCACCTTCCTCAACTCATCAAAATTGTATATTTTACATGTTACAAGTTGGCACCCCTGGGACTGGTCAGCTCGGCTTTCTTCTATTTTGTCGGGCAGAAAGGGGGGCGGGGGGAGAGGATGGTTGTCCCTAGCCTGTGTGGTGCAGGACACATTTTGTAGCACTAGCCATGGAGAACAAGATTATCAAGGGCCACTAGTCACAATGGCTATGCTCTCCCTCCACTGTTGGAGGTAGCATGCCTCTGAATACCAGTTGCTGGGTATTATAGCCCCCCATAAATAAAAATCAATAGAAATCAATAGAAATCTGAGGTTCTGACTCCCCTATCAAAAGGCTGCCCCCCCAAATTCCTGCTTAAATAGAACATGTTTTATTTATAATTGTTATAATTCATGCAAAATATAGTTACATAAAATGATAGCAAGATAATGAAATATTGTTGAAGCAGAAAAACATAGAATCGTGGAGCTGGAATGGACCCCAAGGGTCATCTTTCTAGTGCAACCCCCTGCAAAGTAGGAAATTCAGCTAAAGCATCCATGACAGATGACCATCCAACCTCTCCTTAGAAACCTCCAAGGAAGGACAACCTCCCAAGGAAGATCCGTCTTCCATGTATTATAAATAGTAAACAACACTTATTTGACCCCAGTTATTTGACACTACAGATACAATCCTAAAGGAGTTCTGTACATGTGGGAGAATTTTAAAAAGCAAGTGTTCCTCATTAACCTGGTGCAAAAAGCTTGTCATCCAGAGGAGCCCTAGCTTCCTAGATAAAACACTATAGCACCCCACACCCTTATCTGGGAGTAAGATGTGACAACACAACGGCCCTCTCTCTCCCTGGCACCGCTGCACCAGCCCTCAGTTTCCCTTTCCCTCAGGTGATTTCCCCCAATGGAGAATGAATCACAAGCGACAGTGGGTTTTTCTTTTGGGAAAACAGGTTGCAAACAAACTTTATTATAACAGATGTAAACAAGGAGTTTTTGCTCTTCTTCTTCCACAGAAATGTAACGAACAGTGAGGTTATTCACAGTGTAGTGCTGTTGCTTTACGTATACTGAAACGTATACTGTTTCAAGTTATAGGCTGTATGCCAGGGGTCAGCAAGGTTTACTTCACCTGGGTCGGTTCACTCCAGTGGAGATCCCTCTGTGGGTTGAATTGCATGTGAGCGCCCCCCCCCCCCCGCAATTTCCGCAGATGCAATTTCTGGCGCTGCAGAAGTGAGTCCCCTGCGCCACACTGCTCCAGTTTAGCGCAGTCTGCGGGGACTCGCTGAGCAGGCAGCTTGGTTCGGGGGCAGCTCGTGGGCTGGTTAAAGCAGAGGTCTTTCCTTCTAATTCCTCTCCGTGCTCCTCGCAGGCAGCCAGAAAACATGCAGGAGAGAGAGAGCTGGCTTCGGTTTGGGGAAACTTTTGCCTTTCTTTCCTCCCTCCCGTTAAATCCCTCTCCTGCATTCTTAGCCAGCTGCTTCTCTGCACACCGCTCTCGTGCTCCTTGTCCCTTCTGTGTTTTTCCTTCCCTCCCCACTTAAAATGTAGTTAAAAAGCATGGATCCTCAGGATCTTTGGATTGGGCCACCCCAAATTCACCATCAGATCACATAGCAGCCTGCCCCCCAAAAATCACACACCCACTGTTGCCTGGGGCTGCAATGGTGCAAAAACGTGGTTAAAAAGCATGGATCCACATGGATCCTCAGGATCTTTGGATTGGGTCATCCCAAATTCACCATCAGATCACATAGCAGCCTGCCCCCCAAAAATCACCCACCCACTGTTGCCTGGGGCTGCAATGGTGCAAAAATGTGGTTAAAAAGCATGGATCCACATGGATCCTCAGGATCTTTGGATTGGGCCACCCCAAATTCACCATCAGATCACATAGCAGCCTGCCCCCCAAAAATCACACACCCACTGTTGCCTGGGGCTGCAATGGTGCAAAAATGTGGTTAAAAAGCATGGATCCACATGGATCCTCAGGATCTTTGCATTGAGCTACCCCAAATTCACCATCAGATCACATGTCTGTGGCCACAGCATGAAGCACAAAAATGATACATCCACTGTTTCATTCAGAATTTTTTTCCCTTGTTTTCCTCCTCTAAAAACGATGTGCGTGTTATGGTCAGGTGCGTGTTATAGAGCGAAAAATACGGTAGTTAATTGTTTGCTGGCAGGGGGGAAAAACACTTGATGACTCATCCTGCTCAGAAAACAAACTTTTCCGTCACAATAAGGCCCACTGAACTCAGTGTGGCTTTCTTCTGAGTAGACAGTTATTTACTAGATGCAAGTCAGCAGCACTAGATGACCCGCTAGGCAGCTAGGCACTGGGGTGGATTTCTCCCTGTGCCTTGCAGAGCTGGGCCGACGATGCTGATGAGCCATGCGCCCCTCAGCAACATCCAAAGGCCTTGATCCACTAGGTGCTGGGGTGGATTGCACTCTGCTCCTTACAGAGTGAGGCCCAGGCTGCCGCCAGGCCCAGCACTGGCGGCAGCAACAAGCAGCTCTGGCCATTGCCACCCCACTGCAGCACTTACTTGACCTGGGGGTTCTGGATCATGGGCTCTACTGGTAAAAATGGGAACCTCAGCGGTTGCCTTCTCCCACCAGAAACAAACCAGGACCGCTCCAAGAAAACACACATGGCAAAAAGGAACTCTAGGCCCTGGTGGGCCCCTTACCCACTTGGAATTAGCCAAGCAGATAGCCAACCAATCAGCCAACCATTAAAAAAATAAATAATGATCCCCCCATCACTTCTCACTTCCCTCTGTGGCCCCCCAGCCTCGTAGTGTGGCCTCCATTTTCACATTTTGTAACCTGGGCCCTCCTTGGAATTTCCTGGCGGGGCTCCAGGGGCCCATATTGCCCCTGCTTTAGAAACACTGGTCTACTCTGCCTTTCCAGGCCCTTGGGCATAGAAGGGTATTTTCCATCAGCTGCTACTGGTTATGCCTGGGATTGAACATGAGGATACTGTACCATGAGGCTACAGACCCTTTCCATGGATGTCCATGCTTCCCTGTCTGTTTTTCTGTGGGTCAGATAGCAGGTTTGGGAGCATTTAGATTGGGGAGAATGACATAGGGGTAAGAATGAAACACCCATTCTCTGTTCTCTCTTACTTCACTTACTATTTCATGAATGTGGTGTGTGTGTGTGTGTGTGTGTGTGTGTGTGTGTCTGTTTCATTGAAGAGAAAATGTTAATGCCCACATCTTATTTATTATGCACATTACCCTAGGTCCCCGAATGTGCTTTCCTTGTGGATCAAGTGGTACATAAGAGAATAAGTATAATAAATAAGATGGTTGCAGAACAGTAATTTTTTTTTATGAAGACACTTGTTTGCTTGGAGACAGATAAAGTAGATCATTTTAACATTGTGGATGAGGAATAGAATTTAATGTCTCACTCGGCTAGAAGAAATGGAGCTGTGCCTTGCAAAGATGTACTCTGGATTACATTGGAAGACAGTTGCTGTCCCCTCTCCCCATGCCAGTGGTTTACTGCAGGGATCCCTCATGCCACTGAAGGATCATTTCCCCTCCCTCCCATCCACTACCACCACCACTTTGTCGTCCCTTTAATTCCATTTATAGTTCAATCCCAATAAGGATTTTTGCTACCAGGCCAACAATAGGCAGTAGTTTACCTGCCGTCAAACCCATTTCTGCCTTGCACCTACCATCTCCTTGTGATACTGAAGGTTAAATTGCGCAGATGGATCTAAGAACTTCAATCAGTGAGCAGCTCAACATGCAGCTAAAGGGTTAAAACAGGTGTAATGCTGCCAAATTTGATTAGAATGCCCTCTCCTTAACTTTGAAGCAAGGAGTGGTAGTAGGAGCTGAGGGTTAAAAGTGGTAGAGGAGAGCCAGGAGGATTATGAAGAAATACTTGGATTGTTGTAGTTATTTACATTTCACCCTGGGGTAGCCAACATTGCACACTCCATATATTGTTTGATTCCAGTTCCCTTCATCAGCTGGAGTCCAACAATGGGCGAAGGGCCACAGGTTCCTCAACTCTACTGGGACCTAGCCACTTATGTTTGACATTCTCTTCTGCAATAATGAATCTGCAGCTTGCTGAGATCACCAGCAGCCAGTTACAGATTGGTTTTGGTTCATATGGCACTTGCCTTTTGTCATCATCATCAGGCTGTGAATTGCCTCACCTCTTTCTTTGGACTACTTATCCCCACTAGGTTACTCCTGATCTTGCCTTTCTTCCATGAAACATAATGGTGGCATATAGGAGGGGAGTTGAGGATTGACCAGACCTGCAATGTCAATTTAGATCACACAGAAACATGACAGGGGAAACTAGGGCCCACAGCCAAGTTAATTTGGCTGATGAGAATGCTTGTGAGGATAATTTCTCACTTTTTTTCTTGGTGCTTTTTAGGCACTAGATGCTTGATAATATATTGATTGGGCATCTACTGATAGGGCATGCCAACACTCAACATAAAATGTGAGGAGATGATGATGAAGAAAAATAAGATGAAGACCATGGGGCAATTGTCTGCTCTCAGACTGTTTTGCCTCTCTTCCTGCGTCCGTAGTACCAGTAGGGTAGAAGATCAGCAAAAGCTAGGAACCAACACCATGTGGCTTTATTTACTTACTCAAAAGGCTTACATTCTTTTCAGCTTCCAAGCCTGCAAGGCGGCTTACAGACAATGAAAATGATTGGTAATAACATCCAAAAGAACTCTTGAACCATCAAACATGCAAAAAGAGATCTGGACAATAAGATAACAGCTGCTACAAAAACAATAAGTCATTAAATCCTTGGGAAAATAAAACCCCTTTAAACTTGGTGTCCATAAAAATAAGAATCCTTACCGAAGAAGTATTTTCAGAGAGACTGTTTTATAGGTGAAATGCCAGCAATTCCTGTTCATCACCCACCTAACCTAGGAGCACCCCAGCAGCTGATCTTAAGGAATGGGAACATGACATGCAGGAGGTATGCCTTCAGATAGGATGAAACACTGCGAATGTGTACTTTAGATCAGAGGTAGGGATTCTTTATTCATCCCAAGGGCTGCATTCCCTTGCTTGCTCTGAATGACTGTGACCACTGTTTCCATAGCATGCAAGAACCACCCTTCCAGTGGTGGGCACAGCAGGGGCACAAGTGGGAGGAGAAACATATGCAAGTTTTACCTTTGCACAGTAGGCTAGTTTAACACACATTCACACACCACTCTCCATACTCCTATCCCTGCAAGCAAAAGGCATCCTCACAGTCGAAGGCCAGGCAAAAACAGTCATGATGCAAAGCTGGACCAGTGAGGGGTCTGTGTGGGGAGATTTCTGAGTGCCAGACAGGCTTTGGAAGGTCACATTTCTCTCCCGTGCCTGTGAAGATCAGTTTGAACTTCTAAATTGCTGAGATGTTTCATTCTTTAAATGTGTCCCTCTTCTCTTACCACTTTTCTCTTCATTTCCATGGTTTTCTCCAGCTGAGTCATTGATCAGAGTAAATGGCTCTGAAGTGGATGTCACCTTGGTCAGTGGTGATAGCAAAGGCGAAACAGCCAAGGATCTGAGCAGCAGCCAAGGTATGAGATGGATACACAAGTGATTTTGCCGGGATTGGGAGAACAAACCTTTCTCGCAAAACAAGCTGGTCATTTTTGTTAATTGTCCAAATAAATTCCAGCTAACAGCTTGTTTGCTAAAGTTAATTGCTCTTTTTACCACAGTCTATAACTTTAAAATATTGTTTGCTTAATTATCCCACAATAGCAGCCCCTGGGAATAGCAGCCACAGTCTTTTAAGTGTGGAAGAGTCCCCGGGATTTATGAGTATGGGTTTTAATAAAATGAATGAAATGTGTGCACAACTCTCTATGTACTCAGTGCCACAGAATTGGTCTGATCTTGGCTTGTGATTAAAAAAATTATTAATGGATTCTGATTTTTTATTTTTGCATTCTTGAGGTTTCTAAACACCAGCTTACCCTCTCCCTTTGTTTCCTTCATAATATAAAGGAATTAGTGCAGATTATATATAGTTTATCAGTCATGTGACTGCTGTGGAAGTACCAATATATTCTTTTGTCAACACTAGAAAGTCCTCCAAAGTTCATGTTCCACCAGGAATTTTCCCCATCGTTAAATGATAATGAATGGAAATTGGAAGAACAGTTATGGGACATGAAGAATGTTGCTTGGTTACTAGCAAACCACAACAGAATTGGTCTGGGGTTGTTTGCTTCAGGAGTAGGATTCAGATAGCTTCGGCATTTTAACCTAACTGAATTGCTTTTCAGTGTCACTTAGATTAGAGAAATGATTGATGGTTAGGTCTAATCTGGTATTCATTGGGATATTTAAATGGAACCTCTATAACCAAAGGAAAAATATTTTCGAGTACTTTGTGCTGGTGCCATGCAAATGGAGTTGACTATCACATTCCTGCCATAGCTACTCTTGGAAACACTGTTGGACTGTATCCAGCAAGGTAGTACTTCAAAGGGATGACTTAGAGCAGGTTTTTGGACTGTCAGCAATCAGGTTGTTCATAATAGATTGTGCACTCAAACCTTTTCAGTCAAATTGTTTATAGTTGACATAGAGTTTATGAGTTGAGTTTTGGAATAGTCAAGTGACTGGACAAAGCAGAGGCCACTTGTGTAAATGGAGCTGTCAGTATTAGAGTATTAGATGCAGATGGCTATGAGAATTGGACTCTAACAACAACTGAAGGACCACCAGTTCTCCACCCCTCCTATAAGCTTTTCATAATAGTAGGAATGGGGAACCTGTGGCCTTCTGGACTGCAATTCCTATGATCCCTAACAAATGGCCATGCTGGCTGGGGCTGATGGGAACTGAGTCCCACAACATTTGGAGCGCCATAAATTTCCCATTCATGCAGATAATGCTGAGCAGTGGCAGACCCAGAAGCCTCATTGGTTGCAGAAATAAGGGAATGTCCTAGACCAAATCATAACCTCTAACCTTTAAGTAAAACACATTATTTTATTTCCAGAAACAGAAACTACCACACCTGAGTCAAAGCTTGCTATGAAAGAGCTAAATCAAGAGTTTGCTTTCTCAGAGAAGGAAGATGTTGATGCAACTACCACATACTCAGACTCTAGGAGCCTGCTTTCACTCAGCTTAAGAATTACAAGCATAGATGCATTTGACTATGAAGCTACTGATGACATTGAAGAATTGAGACAAATAATTAAGATTCTGAAGTCTGAACTGGCAAAGTACAGGATGCTGATGATCCACTTTGAGCCTGCCAAGCAACTCCCTTCTGGTGATATTTTAAGTACAACTCAGAATGATGGGGAGCTGCCCACGCACCATCATTTTCTTCCCATAATAGATGCCAGTAGACCAGAGTTGCAGACTTTTTCTGATGAGCATCTGCAAGAGGAGCCTCAAATCCGCATCAAGGATCTCACATCTCATGACTTGGAGCAACAAAATGAAAAAAAAATTCAAAAGCTGAAGGAGCTGCTGTCAGAGAATGAGATGGAGTTGGAAAAAGAGCAGATTGCAAACATACATCTTCTGGATGAGGTGTGCCGTCTGCAAAATAAACTTAAAGGAGTTTCACTGGCTAGGTGAGCTTACGATAAAGCAGCTTTGGGGAGGACGTTTGGAGTGGGCAGGATGGTTAAGTAAATACATGAATGGTTCTTAAATGTAATGCTCCATAGGACTCTGAGCAGCCTTGGAGGCTGTACTGAGTCATCTCATGCATGTCATCATGAGACAGATTATGCTAGGGCAGGGATGGGGAAGCTCAGGCTTGGAGGCCAGATATGTAGCCCTCCAGGCCTCTCTATCTGGCCCTCATAACTCACCCAAGAACACATTCCTCACTGCCTTGCTTAGTACCCAAAGTGTTTTGCTGGGCTTAGGGAAACATCAGAAGGCAGCTTAGAGCAAGGATGGGGAACCTCAGGCCAAATGTGACCCTCCAGATCTCCCTATCTGGCCCTCGGAACTATCTCATGGCCACATTCTCTTCTCAGACCACGCACTACTCACTAGCACTGCTTCATAACTCCCTTGAGTGCTTTTGCCTGGCCTGAAGTGTCCTCATGCTTGTTTGGATGGAGAACAGAGAAATTACCCTGCTGTATAAAGGTGGCCCCCCACCCCATAGAGCATCATTTGTTTATGGAGCTTGTTGTCAGTAGATGTAGTGATGGCCACTAGCTTGGGTGGATTTAATAGAGGGTTAAAGCAATTCATGAAGCATACATTTAGCAATGGTTTCCTATCATAGAATCTATGAAAGGCACCATTTTGAGGAACAATTTCTGGGATCAACAATGGGACAGGGCTCTTTTCTTCATGTCCTGCCTGTAGGCTTTCTGTTGCAGCATCTGGTTGGCTAACTGGGGAAGCAGAATGCTGGACTAGATGGGTTTTTGTTGTGATCCAGCAAGGCTTCTCTTATGTTGAGGTAAATTATTAAAAGACTGGGTACTACCTCCAGTATCGGAGGCAGTATGATGAAGGCTTATGAAATGGAAGCCAGAAATTGGATAACTTTAAAAGAGGATTAGACAGTTTTCATGGAGGATAAGGCTATTGGTGGTTACATGCCATGATGGCTATATTATGCCTCCACAGCTGGAGACAGCATGCCTCTGAATACTAGTTGCTGGGGTCTGCAGGTGGGGAGGGTGCTGCTGCATTCAGGTACTGCTTATGGGCTTCTCAGAGGTATCTGTTTGGCCACTGTGAAACTAAGATGCTTCACTGAATGGTCCTTCAGACTTTTCTTGTGTGTCAACAGGAAAACTCAGCTAGAGCTTCTAGGATGATTGTGGTGGGGTGTTTCATTTTGTTTATCTTTATCTACCAAACATCTACTTCTCTATGTATTCATTTTGTTCTTCAGTGGTGCTTTATATGTCACATCTGGGGTTGGGGAAATTAGATTTTTATTAGTACATGCCAGGTTCACAATACATAAGATGCGGGGGGAAACAACAACTGCAGCCACCTTTCCATAAATGACAAAAGAAATGTACAAAAAGGTAAAGCAGTGAAAAATTATTTCACAAAACACAATGCAAAACCTTGTGCTATTTATTTCTCTGCTAGAACAAGAAAGAAGAGTACAAACAGACTTGATTGGGTTCACTTCAGGGTATTTGCTCTGGAGAATTAAATTGCTTCTAAATCCCACTATATCATTTCAATAACAGTTGCTTTGCTCCTGAATTTCTGCATTTCTGAACTATCAAGGTAGTAAGAAAAATGTTTCAAATGGTCACTATCATTATCAGTTGTTGATTGTACTCTATTTAAAAGAAACTGGAAATACTGGATGATATCCAACTAAGTCCTATCCAGTGTAAACACATTGAAAACCATGAACTTGCATTTTTCATTGATTTCCGCGGATCTGCTTGTGAGTATGACATAGTTGAATAGCATCCTCTGTGTTGACCATGAACTGCAAATATCTCACTGCTCATATAATATTTTGTTGATTTAAACTGCTTATTAAAAAATCACAAATATTTTGGTAAGTTTTATAGTTAGAGGAAAACTTCACGCTTTGATCAATTCCGCTCTCTGAAACGTGGGTCCAGAGGGCACCAGGTGATTCTGCAGAGGAGCTTTCTTCAAGGGGGAACTGCAGAAGGGGAGGTGAAATAGATACTCTCATATGTGGTCCCTCACAAATATCATGCCTTGTGCAAAATTCTAGTCTAGAAATTGTGTTTTGAGTCAACTTTGAAAAGTTAGGTGCATCTTCTTTCTAAAGTCGGCTTCTGCCCCCCCCTTTTTTAAAGGCACGATTCCCCAATCCACTCTCCAGTACATGAGCAGTCTTACCAGCGTCAGAAGATTCAAGAGATCCACAGCATCTGTGCAACTTACCGCCAGCACCTGTCCAATTTGATCAGAGCTTTTGAGGAGCTCTTGCAGGCCAGCGAAGTGGATTATTGTGTTGCAGAGGGCTTTCGCGAACAGCTGAATCAAAGTGCCCAGCTGTTTGAGAGGCTGGAACAGCAGTGTCTGTATGGTGCGTGGCTGTGTTTGTTGCTTATCTTCAGTTATAGATCTCAGACACACATTCCTATCTGTTTTCTGGGCTCCTATCTGTGTGCCAATGTTTTTTCTTTCCCCTTCTCCTTATCGCATGGTGATTGTCAAAGATTGGGCCCCTCATTTATCATTTAAGATAGGAATATAGATATACTATGGGATCTTCAACAAATGTTGCAGAGTTGAGTGCTGCTGTTCAGTTTTTAAAAGGTATATTTTAAACTCTGGACAGAAATTCCAGGCAATCCCACAAACTGTAATCCCATTGGGTAGCAGTACCAACCAAGTGTGCTACCAAGTGCATGCCCCATTAGGTGTGCAGAAGTGTAACTTTATGGGCACAGCATGGGGTTGCAAATATTTCTGGGTTTGCTGTTACTTTGTTTTCCGATACCAAGAGACTTTAATTTGAGAAACAATATTGTAGTTTACATGTCCTAGCTGTATTCTCAAAAGACTTGAGTGTATTCAATTATCATATATCAAATTCTTCACATTGGAAATAAGTTTCTCCAGCGAATAAACATTAAAATGCCTTTCTGTTCAAATCAGCAGATGGTATCATATATACTAATGAAATTGCTGACAACTGAGACAATTCAATATATCTTTGCACAATAGGGTTGCACTGAATCACAAGTAAAGACGAGGGCTGGAGCAGAATATTCAAGCAGGCTGAAAGTTAGAGTGGCAGTGATAGTCCACTGTTTTGTGGAAGGGCTGTGGTTTGGGGGTCCAGATTTGATTTTTTAAAATTCTGCTTAGTAAAGGCATTTATACTTAGCCCTGTAGCCAAAAAGGCTCCCAGAGAGACTTAAAAATCAGCAGTAAGAAGGTCCCTGCCCTCAAACTTTATAGAATATAAAAAGACATGCCTCTCCTTATGATGTCTATGCATCAGCCTGTCATAATAATAACCTTTAAACAAAATTTGCCTTCCTAAACAAGGGGTGGATAGGTTCCCCCAGCCCAATGCATCCATATGTTTTGGTGTCAGTGGCCAGCTGCTTTTGCAGTCATCATTCCCTCACTGCCTCCTTGGTCCTTTGGCATGTGTAGAGGACTTGGGGGAAGGAAGGGTTATTTCTTTCCTCTGGGCTTTTGCAGAGGCAGGGCCACAGGAGAAACTTGTGCTGCTTCTTCAGGTGTTTAGCACAAAATGAGAGCAGCCTCCTCCCCAACCTGTTTTCTCCCAAGTCTTCTGGCATATGGAGGGGACTCAGGAATTAAGTTGACACATCCCTGTCTTTCTGGAGACCCTGTAAAAAACTGGCCAGATTGGGTTTAGGTGTGGCACTGCCTGGCGGTCAATAGGCAATAATGCAAGCTTGAAAAATTAATTAATTAATTAAAAAAGGAAGCTGCCATCTTGGCTCCTCACTGCTCCTCCCTCCTTCAGTTTTTAATTTTGCCTTGTGGGAAGTGGTTGTTTCTTCCTGAGACTTCTGGTGCACACCTTTTTTCAGGCTGGTTAATTCCTTGTTTATTCTACCTCTTGTTGAATTTCTCTGTGGCTCTAGTTCCTTTACCTTCTGCTTATTTTCACTACTTATAAGTATCAGTAGCTTCTGTATTTCTCCCTCTCGAGCCCTAATGCTGAGTGCAGTTAAGGCTTTGGAAATGGAAACTGTTAGTTCTCCATGGGGGTTTAGCCAGTTTTCTGCCACTTTGCTAACAATCTGCAAACAACTGGCTATTGTTCAGTTCTGCTTCTTTGCCTGCATTTAAATGGTAAAGGCACAGATGAAATCCACACTCTCCTGCCAGAAGAGAATTGCAGCAGCAAACTACAGCCTGTAAAGGCAATAGACATGATTCAGCTAGATCTGCCTCTACTCAGACTTTAGCTCCAGCCCTCTTCCCATGTAAGCAGCAGCTACTGCTACTTTCAACAGTTATGACAGATCTTCCCAGTTTACCAGCCTCTCCTTCCCCCTCTCTAGGGGATTTCTATACAGAACATCTCAGAGCCAGATCAGGTGTGCCCATAAATTCCCCTTTATATGGCATTATTCTAACTGGGGGAGAGGTGTGCAATAGAAAGCTCAGCAGGAGGCTCTGTCCCTGCTTTGGCTGAAGAATGCTCACTGCACAGAGAGAGGATGGCAACAGAATACAGTGGACGCTTGTGCTGTGAACTTGATCCGTGTGGGATGCACGTTCACAACCTGCAGCATTTGCAACCCGCGTCTGCGCATGCACGGATTGCGATTTGGCACTTCTGCACATGTGCAAAGCGCGATTTAGCTCTTCTGCACATGTGCGACTGCCGAAACCCAAAAGTAACCCGTTCTGGTACTTCCGGGCTTTAGCGGTCCGCAACCTGAAAAAACGCAACCTGAAGTGGCTGTAACCCTAGGTATGACTGTATTCCTGTGGAGGACAAGGAGAGCAAGCAGTTCAATCACAAGGAAGCTCTCCCTCAGCTGGACTTAGAAGAATTCCTCATCCTATAGAAACTCCTATCAGAGCCACGGTATTTATGCAGCTCACCCCAGCATGAATCAGCCTCAATATTCAATATTCAATACTCAATAAACAACTGTCCAGAATCGGTCTCAACTGATGCAGTTTTCTGCATTATTTATTCCTTAATTTATGATCTATTTCACTGCCCCAAGGAGACCTAGCTAAATAAGTACATTTACCTTCAGCCCCATATCAGTTTCCAAATGTTCTACACCCACAATCTGTATCTACTACTACTCCCTCCACCTCCAGGAGGCAGTCTAAAGTGTGACCTTCACGCAGGAGTTCTCAGTCGCAACCCAGGCACTCTGTTTCCCCTGAAGACCTTGACTCCGACCATCAGCCACAGGATGAAGGTGACGAATGGAGTGGTGAATGAGGAGTCTGATTCTTGCAGAGTTACCGGCACTCTGATTTCTTTACTCCCTGGTGCGAATCTATTCTGCAATTATTCTGTGATACCTTTACTCTTATATGCTTTGTCTGATAGTTCCTCCATCATACTTTTCTACCTTTCTTACTGGGAAGTCTCAGTGAACCCTTTAGGCAACCTTTTCCTGTTGAAAGCTGCCTCCCACGCTATACTAATACCAAATCTCCCAACTTTCTGGCTTGTTATCTAAAAACTGAAGCAGGGAGGAGCTAAGACAACAGCTTCCTGCTTGAATTGTTTATTTTTTTAAGCTTGCAATGTTGCCTATTGACCGCCGGGCAGTGCCAAACCTAAAATCTGGCGGCAGCTTTTACAGGATCTAGAAATACTTTTCATGGTAAATATTAAGTCCTTTCTGTAGCAAGCTTGGGGGACAGATTGCAATGGCTTGAGTTTCTTGCAGGGAAGAACTATTAAGAGGGACTTGCACGATTTCTTTGCCTCTCCAACACCCCACCCTTTTCTCCAAGGCCTCTGCATTTGACTTGGGGATGGTGGGGACTAAGCATGCCAGGTTTGCAGAATGCAGAACCAGGAAAAATCTGGTTTCTTTCAGTGGCCATATGCCTCTGAATACCAGTAGCTGGGGAGGTGGAGAGAGCGCTTTATCATTTCAGCATAATTTTGAAAGGCTTCTTTTCCCCTATTGCAGGAGAGTCAATAGATGATGAGATGACTCAACTGTGTGGCCTTGCACGAAGGTAAGTGCATCATTTCCTTTTGCTAACCTTTCTTTATTAGTTCAGTACACTTAGCAGTCACAATTGGGGCACAATGTTTTAAAGAATTACATTAGGCTTGAAGGTTGAGAGTCTGGTGTCCTCCTGCTCCCCTGCAAATTTTGTAGGGTTCAGGTGAGACAGTGAACATATCCCTTGATGAGCTCTAGGGCAAATAAGGGAAAAGCTCATTGCTTATTCCACATCAAGGAACCCATTGAAACATCAATTGATCATTGCTATATTAGCATTTTTTTTGAAAAAAAATAATCCTATTTGTTTTGCTGTTCCATATGAGAAGGGTTACCAGGATTGCCACTCTTTCCAGGCTGCTTAGGAAGCTCTCCCATTAAACAGTTCATTCAGTGGCTTGCAAATCATATTTTTAAAATAGCAGTCCCTGTCATCAGACTCTTGCCCTTTAAAAAGACAGGGAAAAAAGAATGGGGAGGAAAGAGGAAAAGAAGCAAATTCTGACACCAAATTCTTAACATTACAAGATTTTTGTAATGACTGGCTTGGATGGAAACAAGATGCTCACATTTCAAAATAGAAGCCTTGACACCCAGCCTGGAAGTGACTGTAATGCACTTCCTCCCAGAGTGGAGTATAGCAGGAATCTATGGCTAGCCATACTCTTGAGTATACCCTTTTAAATTAATGAACATGACTAGCCTAGATCTATTCAGTGGGTCTACTCTGAGTAGAATGTAGTTGGAAATAATCCTCAGCTTCTTGTCACTCCCAGATTGGCTCATGGGGGCCCTGTTGATGCCACCACCCCCAGAGCAGCTAATCCTGTTCATCTTCCTCACAGGGCAGGTGCAACTGATGGCCTTGGGAAAGAGGCCCAGTCCATCTGGTGAGAGCAGCAGCAAGTGGAAGTGGTAGTTCCTTGCTGTCTGCTACTTCTGTGATTCATAGTGGTCATGAACTTGGCTATGTAACTTACCATAAATAAGGTCTCCAGACATTAAGCAGAATTCATGTTAAGACATCCCCTCTTCTTTTTCTTCTATAGTTTATCTGACTTGGAGATGCCACAAAAGCCATCCTCTTTGGAATCCCCCCAGCCTGAAAAAGAAGAAATGGAGGGCAAGAGTGAAAACCTGGCAATCATGCCGGTCAAATTCCCCCCAGGTAAACTAGTTTACTCTAGCAGAGGGAATCTTTAGCAGCCTTGAGGCATCATTGGAAAATGAAGTTTCTGGTTTGAATGCCATAATTGGTACACTGGTCGGGTTAGTGGAGACAGGAATTCTGATTGCAGCACTGCAGACAGGACCTACCAGCAAAGAAACTGAAGTTAGTGATGGTTTGAAGATACATCAAGATTTAGATAGGTCTGAGATTGCTAAGTCCATATCAGTAACTGAACAATTTGTTGTTGGAATCTTTCTGTCTTGAGAGAGTAGAGTGCACCTCTGTGGCTGCAGACACTGATAACTCGTAACTGCTGCCTCCTGCGTTGTTTTTGCTGCATTATATGTTTGCTGACAGAGAGCTGTTAGTTAGAATTAAAAGGCTGCACAACCAATAGCAAGTTAAATATCCCTCTCCTGTGCATAGCAGAAAAAGGAAATTGCAATCTGGGAAAAGGCAACTTGAGAGGAAAGAACAGGACATTCTCAAGCCATAAGGCCTTTGCTACTTTTACTAATAATATCCAGATATGCTCCAATAGTCAAGAAGGGAAGATTCATTATATTGGCCCAAATGCAGGTATTGGAAGAAATATACCCAAGTTAGAGGTTCAAAACTTCAACCCTGCTAGCAATTTATTTTTCAGAAATCAAAAGAATTATACATTAACAAATGCTCAAGATAAGACCAGGCCTAGGGGTAATTATAGAAAATCAAATTATGATACCTTCAGCTCTCCTTTAAGATGCCAAAACTGACTAGAAAACATCCAAAAAGGTCTTAATAGTTTTTTCCTGGAACCTGGCAGGTTGGGATAATAAGATGGATAAGGATTTTATTTGTATGCTCTAGCAATTTGATAAAATATGTTTGCAGGAGACTTGGTCTTATTAACCTAAGCTGCTCCTGCCCTCAACTTACAGGATTGTAACTCTTCTAGCCAGTCAGCTGTTAAGAAATTTAAAAGGGGCTGAGGAAGTCAGAGCTTGACTTATTTTATATGACTTGATTTGGCAGGAGAAGTTTGGATAGCAGATTTTGGAATTCAAAATAATTATAATTGCCAGTAGAAATCAAAACTGAGTGCTATAAGGAATGCATAGCAAGGTGGATGCCTACCATAACTGGCTTATTTACTACCATAAACAAGGGCAAAAACTATTGGCCACTTAGCTTGTTAGACATCTCAAAGCTATGCATGATATCTCCTTCAAAAATAATCAGACTGGTTGCAAAATAACGACATTATTCATGAAAACAATTGGGGCTCAGAGAAGGACACAGTACCATTGATCAATGTTTTATTCTGAACCATTGTATAAGGAAATAGATTAGGAACATTAAGAATAATCTTTATGTAGCCTTTTTATCTCTGCTGCATTTGCCTCTATTAATCGAAACAGACTGGGAGAAATTACAAATTGCCAATACTGACTGCAGACTTCTGTTATTGATCTAACAGCTGTACTGAAATGAGGGTCAGAGTAGGTTTAAGACAGGGGTTGGAGCGCGCCCGCGCCCGCATGAGTGCATGCACCTGCGATTTCCAGGGTCTGCACAGTCAACGATTTTCGTTGTTTGCACTCGCGCAGATGTGATTTCTGGTGTCTGCGTGTGCACAGATGCAATTTCCAGCACCGTGGAAGTGAGTCCCTGTGCTGTGCTGCGCCGATGTAGCACACCACGCTGGGACTCGCCGAGTGGGCGGCTTGGTTCTGGGGCGGCTCGTGGGCCAGTTAAATGGCCTCTGTGGGCTGTTTCCAGCCCATGGGCCGCACATTGCCAACCCCTGGTTTAAAAGGTTGCACTCTGGCTCCCACTCTTTTAAACTTTTATATTAATGACAGGAAAGCCTATATATTACTCTTAATGATTTGTTAGCAAACACAGTCCTAAGTATAAATGGTATTTAGACCAGCAAGCTGTAGAACAAACTCACTCATATCTGGGTGTACTCTTTAGTGAAACCCTCTCTTGGAAGTGCTGTATGGAGGAAGTAAAAAACAAGCAGAGAAAAGCATAGGGACATTGATGAAGTTCTATTACAATAAGGTAGGGCAGCTGATTGAACCTGCCCAAAATATACTTGGTAGCAAAGTGCTTATCCAGTGCTCTGTGGTGTTGAAATCTGAGGCTCTGATTTTAACTCCATTAAAGTTTTGGAAACTGTGCAGAATATATATATTTTCCCCTGGAAGAAATACTCTCTACCATCAGGCAATACCAGGAGCTCTTCTTTGTACAAAATCCAAGTGGCTGACAATTAAGGCAAGAGCTGACTGCACTCAGTTAAAGTATATTAGAAGAATTGCTGTTATGCCAATTGAGTGTTTTCCTGTGCTGTGCTATAGGGAATTGGGTGGGAACCAGTGCTGAAAAGCAGCTTGTCAAGGTATTTTAGACTATGATTATTTTCCAGAACTGAACTCTGCATTTACCTTGAATACATGTCAACTAAGGGATTGGCTCTTCTGGATAGAATCCAGAAGGGACCTGCAACTTATTAGAAATACTAAATTTCATCCTTAGTATCCACTCCCAAGAACAGAGCATTTTACAGCTAGTTATCTGACCAAACTCTTAACAGCTTCCTTAAAAATGCCTTTATTGAGCTGCGTTTCCAAGTGATGCCCACCACATCCTTGGATGGGTAATGCAACAAGGTCCCGTGCATCAACAGACTTTGTATTTCTGGTCAATCTCAGGTGGAAGATATTACTCATTATCTGTTAGCCTGCCCCCTTATATATAGACCTGAGATCAGTTTTAAAATCTTTGATCACATAAATAAACAAGCAGGTAAAGCCTCGCAGAAATGGTCCAGTTTCATTTGAGTGACAACAATAGCTTCATAACTCAGAGAGTGGCCCTTGTGCATTGGCTGCAAAAAAAAGAGGGAAAAGGAGTTTGATAAAATCACTACAGTGGTACCTCTGAATGCGAACGGGATCCGTTCCGAAGCCCTGTTCGCATCCTGAAGTGAACGTAACCCACGTCTGCACGTGCACGGGTTGTGATTCGTCGCTTCTGCGCATGTGCATGACGTCATTTTGAGCGTCTGCGCATGCGCAAGCGGCGAAACCTGGAAGTAACACGCTCTGTTACTTCCGGGTCGCCGTGCAGTGCAACCTGAAAATGCTTAACCTGAAGTTACTTCAACCCGAGGTATGACTGTATTAGTTGTTGTGGTGATTCAGAGGTATAATCTGAAATCAAGCTACATTTAAGCTTACTGGTGTCTCTGGTATCTTCTGCATCGTGGATGTTGGCTTATATTATGGATGTTTGTTCTGTATTATATTATAAATACTATTGCTACAAGTTTGTCATGGCCTTTGGCTAGAACAGTAAACTTACAAAGAACAACTAGTTTACCCACTACAGGTTTACTAGGCATAGAAGGACATCTACTAGATTTTCTGGCCAGGATTCCATCCTCCGCCATTGTTATTTTAAATTGAGGCACACAGACCTATTGGCTGACAGAATCTGCTTCATTGTTTTATGAGTACCCCAAGATCAGCTTGGAGCAAAAGATGTAAACATAATAATTCTACAGGAATAAGTTTTGAATTTCAGAACTGAATGGAGTTCACAGTCATTTCTCTTGAAAATCTATTTCTGGATACCCTAAGATTTCTTCATTTCAGTAATATAATTTAAGGTGTGAGAGCACTCATTTTGTTGCTAATATTGTGAAATTGTAGGTAGTAGGTAGATCCATTTTACCACAAATCACTCAGAGATCTTCTACCAGTGGATTCAATCTGCCTATCCTTGTTTTAGACTTTTAGTGTTTGTATTTTAAAAATAGATGGACTTTTCTCTAAAATTCAAATTAGGAGCTAGAATACAGACAATTGATAGGTGATGTTTAAGTTACATGGTTTCTACCGCTATAAAAGCCCAGGTACTGTTTCATTGGGATTGAAGTGTGCTGCATAATTAATAGGAGGAGTGAGACTTGACCTGGAACAGGACACCCAGTGCAACTGATGCTTACCAGGCTGTTCTGCTAGAGACTCAATTGAAAGTAGGTGGTGTTTGCAAAATGCTCTGTTTAAAATAAAACAGAATTGGCTGGAACTGGCTGAACTAACAAATAAAATGGAAAAGGTGAATTCCTGACCAATGTGGAAGTTACTGCAGGTGGAGGGAACCTGCAGTCAACCATCAAAGGTACTTTTTAATTGAAACAGAATACTGTGTAATATGCTTCCTTATTTTTTTTCCTGTGCTATGTGAATCAAACTCATCTACTAAATAGTTTCATAAAGTGTTGTTCGAGTTCATGATGCTCTACAGAGTATCATTAGTGAAACTAAGGGATTCCTGCCCCAGTGAATTTACAAACCACATGTCAACAGTAGTTTGAGATCAGAGGTAGAGAAGGAAGAAGTGAGTGTAGGACAGGGTCACAGGAAGAAGGGAGAAAGGAAGAGTTTCAAAAGGGTGACCAAATGCATTGACATGTAAAGTGGACTTATTTTCAGTAATGAAGCTGGGGAGTTGAAAAAACCCTTTTTTTAGATTAGCTTGCCTTGTCACCTGAGATTGCCACCTGAGATTCTTCATATGGTAGCCCTGAATTCAAAAGGTAGGCTGGTTGCACAGGAAAGAGAGGGCCGTCCCTGTGGTGGTACCTCAACTATTGAACTTCCTCCCTAGCAGAACTCAAATTACTGTGTTGAGAAGGTAGTGGGGGACATAATTTGACAAAGCATGAAATGGGAGGTATAGATTGCATTAAGAGTCTTCCATACCTCCTCCTCACTGAAGTGAGGTGAAGTCTTTCTGAGCTTTCAACAGCACTCTACTGCTTCTTCCTTATTCTTCTGTTGTCTTTTAATCCATTTTAGTTGGCGTTTTGTATTGCATTTAATTGGTCTGTCAGCTGCCTTGAAAGCTATTCTGATGGGAAAGATGGGAATATAAACATGCGTACACACACACACACACACACATATACACGAAAGTGTAGGCAGCTTATTGGACAGCTGAGGGTGGGGAGGCTGATGTTCATGGGCAAGGCTGGAGAAAAAGGGGAAAATAAGAACAGAAAGTTGGGGCGCGTATATGTGGCAATGGGCAAGCCTGCAAAGTCAGTTGAAAGTCAAAGGTGAGGGTTGATGGAAAGCTGGTGTAAAGATATACAGAGGGTGTCATGTGGTCTCAGTGATGAAAGGGAAAGAGGGGGGTGGTTTTGGCAGCTGACCGGTGGGTACAGCTGAGAGGATTCTTTGAGGCAAGAGACTGCCAGAGAGAAGGTGCTTGTGGTTATTGAGGCAGGAGATTACCAGATTTTGTGGGGTGGGGGATGTGGATGGAGGAAGAGATTTTTGTAATGATATTTAAGGGAGAACTGACAACTTGGCAATGGACTTCCATTGCCCTCTGCGAGTTGAAGGAAGATAGGAAATCTGGGAGGAGTTGGTGACATTTCTTCAATAGCATTGATATAAATCAGGTCAGGGGAACCTCTGGCCCTCTGGTTGTTCCTGGACTCCAGCTCCCTTCAGCCCTAGCCAGCATAGCCAATGGTCAGGGATGATGGGAGCATGGACTCCAATGACATTGGGTGTGGGGGAGCACAGTGATTGTAGCCAACTTTGCTTTGAGAGTTACTGACTTGTGTATGCCCCACACAGATTATATTATTACTACTACAGTGGTACCTCGGGTTAAGTACTTAATTCGTTATGGAGGTCCCTTCTTAACCTGAAGACCACTTTAGCTAATGGGGCCTCCTGCTGCTGCTTCGCGATTTCTGTTCTCATCCTGAAGTAAAATTCTTAACCCGAGGTACTAATTCTGGGTCAGCGGAGTCTGTAACCTGAAGCGTATGTAACCTGAAGCGTATGTAACCTGAAGCGTATGCAACCCATGGTACCACTGTATTACTATTAAATTTTCTGTACCACCCTTCATCCAATTTGTGTCAGATTTTATATTTTGTGTGTCAGGGTAAAATGACTGATGCTGGCTTTTGGAGACCTAAATGTGAAAGCCCTCCAATAACTAGTAAAGAGCCATAATATTTTCAGTCCCCTGCTCCAGACTTTGATATGGCCACTCTCTTGCCATTTATTTAGAGTTGTTGATGGAGCATCTCCAAGAAATACGAATGTTGAGGCACCAGCTTGAGGAATCCATCAGAACCAACGACCGGCTAAGGAAGCAACTTGAGCAACAAGTGTCAGACTCTGCTCAGGAGCAAGGTAGAATATTTGAAGTCAAAGTCTGCTTAGGAAGGTTGGAAGGAAGGAGAGCTGTGTAGACCTCCAAAAAGAAAATAGCCCTCCTTTATATGCAAACAGTGATATCACAATATGGGTTTCATGAGTATTCGTACCTGCCCCATATCAGAAGACACAGGAAAGGCGCTGAACTTCCTCCTCAGGCTCTGCTTTGAACCCTACTCTTATTAAATGTTGCATTTTTAAGCATCCTATGGTTGCGCTTTTGTTGTTGTTTTTGAATGGTGCTATCTGGAAATGGTGATTCCTCTCAGGAGTAATTTACACTAATGGAAAAGTATATATATAAATGCCTCTGAGTTTGTTCATGAAGTATTTACAAGCAGCTGGAAAGCCATGCTGTTCACTTGCAAAATGACCACACCTGAAACTATTCCAGCTCTTGTTTTTATGGCTTCATAAAGATTTGAGGAAAGGACATCTGGTTAATGCAGCAGGCATACAATCTCTTACACCTTTTCATCCATCTTTCTGTTACTTTGGTTAATCAAATTTATCACTGTGTGATGGATTCCTTACCACTGCGGAAAAAGGAGCAGGGCTGTTTTGTATTTGTAAGTGAGAGAATCCTCCCAGCTCCTTCGTATTTTGATGGCAAATCAAGACAAGGCACAGGAGAGCTATGTTTAAGCTGAAAAGTAGTGTGGGGAGGGAAATCGAGTTGGTAAACCAATGCTGAGGGAATGGAGCGTGTCTCCCCTGGTTTGGTTTCTATATCTTTTCTTCTGTGGGGTAAGCAGCTTTGAGGGATCAGAAAACATGAAGGAAAGGGGCTAACCCTCTGCATTGCAGCCTGGTCCTGTTCATTATTTTTTAGGCAAGGAGATAGGATCGCTGCAGTTTCTGTTCAACCTCTTAAGAAACGTGGGCTATCTGATGATTAATCTTCAGCCATCTTGTCAATTTGACCTTGAGGCTGTGGGCTCAAACTACACAGCACATAAAATGTATTATTGTGTTTAATGTGGACTTGCTTATTGAATTACTCCCTTGCTTATGGCTATTCCAGTACACAAGAAGGGAAGGGGGTTGCTACTGACCCAGTGAAAAGTTGCCCTGTGCTGCCTGTTTACTGGATCCAGACAGGGGACATACTTCTGCCAGAGGTTAAACCTCTCTCTGGTGGTGACAGCCAGGGAGACGGGCCATCCTGCTCTTCAGACTGATGCTGTCCGGAGTTGGCATAAGTTAGGCTAATCAACAATCTGGAGAGACTTCTCTTCCTTGGCCTTTTTCTTGGCAATTTCTTCTTTTCTCTGTCCCTTGCACATAACTGGTGATCAGTGGCAAAGCTTTGGTGTGATTGTTGTCTGTGGTGGGGCTTCATGGAGTTTACCCCATCGTAGATTAAATCATTGTAATCCTAACAATCCCGTAAAGTGGGTGAATGTTTCCCCCCATTATGCAGTTGGCTCAGAAAGACTGGCTTTGCTGCAGCCACTCAGTTTATGGTGCAGGGGAGATTTGGGCCACGGAAGTTTCTTGATTCATAGCTCAACCCTTTTACCACTAAAGCTACAAATCACACATCTCTTTCTTACAATATAATTTTATACACAACACTGGCTTGTGGGAGAGCTTCCATAGCTGTGACAAATTAATTAACCTTTGAAACAGCAATATTTGAAGGGGTGGGGGAAAGAAAGCAATGAATGTGGGCTTCTTTACCTTGGCTCCTTGTCTGATCCATTATTGCTTTTATCCATCATATCTTCAAACACCTCTGCAACCTTGACAGCTAGAAACTTGCTTGCTTGTTATAAATGAACTCAGCATTTTGGTGCTGCGAGCAGCTACCCATCACTGACGAAAGCTCAGGCCAGATGTGCCTGTGTTTATGCTCACTGTAACCATCTCAGCTTCATAAACTGCTTGCGTTCCTAGCTTCAGCTTCATATCTGATGCTGGGGACTGGTGATTGTTATAGAGCACTGGCAGCATACAGATTACAAGAGGGAAGGCTGCTGCCCCAAGGAGCTTTCCATCTCAGATTCAGTGCATGGAAATAAAGCGGGGAGAGGGAAGAGGAGGAAGAGGGGGTGTGGAGGCAGGAATGAACAATGAAAGAGTATGGTTGATTCAGTCACTGTACTTAGGCTTGGTTTCAGGGTTAGTTGCAATAGGCTATGGAAACTAGGGGGCTGAGGCAAAAGATTTCATGGAAAAGGCTTAGGTACCATGGTTTCCTGCTTAAAACCCTTGGCATATTAAAACACAATACAAGGACATTCTCAGTTTAATAAACCGTGGTATTTTAAGCAAGATTATTGTGTCTGAACTTGACCACACTCAACTGAAGAATCATGTCAAATGGCAGATAAGGAGGTTTAAATATGGCTTGAGGTGATAGCTAAACTGAGGAGTGTTTTGTTATCAACCAGCTAAACAAAGTAAGAAGTCATTGTTTGCACATACCATGGTGTGATGTGATATCCTACTTGACAAGCCATAGCTACAGTCAGTGCTCCACCATCAGAATCTAGTGTTTCATATAAATGAGAGAGAATTCATGAAGTTGAGTGGGACAGAAATTGGAAGTGGGCAGGTGGTTCTAAACCATGGCTTCCCAGTTATATATTTGGGATCTAAAGCTATGGTCTGGCTTCTAAGCTATGGCTAGCACAAACCCTGGTTTGACCTGTTGTCTGTATAGAGCAAATGAATATGAGTTTCTAAAACTGAGAAGAAGAAGAAAAGTTCAAAATAATTTAAAGGTAATTAATATGCTTCTTGATTTCAGTGGAGTGTACCTTCAGGTATCTAGGATTCATTTTGTGAGGTGGGGATGGGGGAGAACTCCGTGGCTCTGAGCCCCAGTGAGGAGTCACCCTTGCTGCCAAGCCCTTGAATAACTAAAATAAAGGTGAAATAATGCAGACTTGTATTACTGCCACATAGTCTTTGTTTCACAAGTGGCTCCAGGCATGTTGAGGTCAGCCTTGTTAATGGGGGGTGGGGGAGTTCTCTTAACCTCTAGCAGAGGGGCCCCTCCTCTTGTAAAGTCTACCTGCGCAACTGCTCTTTCAGCAGATGAAAATTGCAATTCAACCAATAGATCAACTGGAACTTGTCAAACGCAAAACTAGCATCCTCCTTTTATTCTTCTTTCTTTCCTTTTTTCCTTTTTGTAAATGCAGTAATTTACCAGAGTGTTGAAAATGACTGCAAATTCGTCTTCTTGCAATCTCTAGCTGGAGGCCCAAGATAAGTGTGGCAATGTCTGCACCCAACATCATTATCTGCCAGGGATAATTTGCAATTTTACTGATATTAGCCCAGCATCAGTAGTGGTGTTGGAATGGCTTGATCAGAGTCCACCTGAATTACCTTTTACTCTGATGATAACCTTCAGAATATATAGGGGATAAATAGCTTTCATAGTGTGTGTATTGCCCCCCTCCCTGCATTGTTTAAATTGTTCTTGTCTGGAAAAGTTTAATCTTTACTGACCTAGAGATGACTCATAAATCGTTTTTATGTATATATTTATAGGTTCTGCAAACGTTTGTATTCGTGGCTCGGAGCAACATAATTCCCTGACTTCTGAAATTCATTTCCTGAGGAAGCAAAATCAGGCTTTGAATATGATGCTGGCAAAGGGATCTCAAGGTACGATAAGAAACTCGGTGTTAAAGAGAGAGCAGAACAATTTGGAGTTATTTGTTTGAAAATGGCAGGACAATATTGTTGTGCCTTTTCAACATCACACTCGAGAAGAGAATGTTTTGTAGGTGCTAGTTTGCCTGTTACAATATCTGCTGTACTCAACAGATTTCTGAAAACGTTGCTTTGAAAAGAAGATCGCTAGTCCTCATTGTCTCATTTATTCATTGCAACATTTATATCTACAATAGAACTCCTCTACCCCACAAAAGTGTTTCACAATCTGAATAAAATAATAATCAATAAAACTGCAAATGAAACCTTTTGTAGAGAGGCAAAATGGTAGCAGCTTGTAAGTGGAGCATTGTGGAGGATGCTTAGCCACTACAAGGAGATCTCATTCCAGCAACTGATGGACATCACCTTCCTTCTTATGATAAATCCCTTATAGAATTCAGGTATTGTAAGGGTTATTTTTTTTATTTCTTTGAAATGCATTTTCTATTCCAGAGCCGCAGGAGAGAAAATTGGGATGCTAGAATTGTAAATGTCACATGAGTATCTCATTTCACTTATTGCTTCTCTGAGTTGTGGGCGTCTTTAATGTTGAAATAAATATATAAATCATTAATTTTCCCTAGCAGTTTTGCTCAGATTATGCTTAAATTGTCAACGAACTGGGCTTTGTTTCCTTCCAGAGAAACAAAAGGAAAATGAAAAGTTGAGAGAATCCCTGTCGAAGAAGCACCTTGCTGCCGAGCGCCTTCACAAGGACTACGAGCACCTCAAGAAGGAGAAGGAGAAACTGCAGAAGCAGCTTGGGAAGCAAGAGGAAGAAAATGGGCATCTGACTCATGATATTTACAGCGTTAGAAATGAACTAAACAGGTAGTGACCCTGTTATTTCTCCCCCAAAACATATTTCCAAAGAATGTAGTCATACTGCAGTTCGCATAGCAGTCAGTAGGTGAAGCTATGAATGGTGGTGACAAACTGGGCTCTTGGAGCTGCTGGCAATCACAGTAGTGTTGAAGGGCAAGGAGGAAGAAATCAGCGATGGGAGTGAGCAAGTGACCCAGACCTGTGAGCAGAGGTTTGGCGAGGTTTGAGGGGAGGAGTGGTTTGGACAAGGTTTAGATGGTAGGTAAGGGGAAGGCCGTGGCAGGTAGGTGAGGCTGGCGAGCAAAACAAGCAGAGTCAAACCCCTAGTAAGGCTGTATGAAGGTAAAGCAGAGTCCTCTGCCCCAGAATTGAGGAGGTAGTCTCCTTCTTCTGAGATACTAGAACTTGGGGCAAGATGTGGCTGGGTGGCATGTACTTCAGTGCCAAGATTACAGGTATCTTTGGGTGGCTTTGCCTTTGCAGTCAAGGAATCACATAACTGTAGTGTTGGAAGTGACTCAAAGGCTCATCCAGTCTAACCCCTAAAGTGCAGGAATTTCCTTAGCCTCAACCCCTGTCCTGCCTTCCAGCTTTTGCTTCCCCCCTCCCACAAAACATCACGCTCCATGATCACCCATTTCCCCCTCCTTAAATTCATCACGAATCTAAGACTGCACAACTGTTTTCCCCTGAAACCAGCCTTGCCCAGTTTGGAGACTGAAAATCCCAAGAGAGGGAGCAGGTACAGAAGGGCTGGACCACTCCAACCATCCTCTTCCTCCCCCCTCTACCAATCCATCTCAGGCAGGACCCCAGAGGGAGCAAAACATCTCCCTCCATGACACACCTGTCCTAGCCAGCCGACCCAGTAGAGAGTCCCTTTGTATTAGTACAGTGGTACCTCTGGATGTGAACGGGATCCGTTCCGGAACCCCCGTTCGCACCCTGAAGCGAACGCAACCCGCATGTGCGCGGGTCGCGAATCGCTGCTTCTGCGCATGCATGTGACATCATTTCGAGCGTCTGCGCATGCGTGAGCGGCGAAACCCGGAAGTAACGTGCTCCGTTACTTCTGGGTCGCCGCAGAGTGCAACCCGAAAATGCTCAACCCGAAGCTACTTCAACCCAAGGTATGACTGTATTACCATTTTAATAGCCCTGGGAGTGCCTAGTAGGGTCATTGGGGGGTGCTTCTGTCCCTTTCCTCTGCTGATGGAATGGAAACATCACCTATCCCCCCTCTGAGTGGGCTAGATACTTCCCCATTGACTGGCAACTGTCCCAAGCGTCCCCATCTCTGCCAGAAGTGACCACCCTCCCCCAAGCTGCTCCACACACACCCCAAGAATCTGGAGCCCCTGCACCCAGCGGGGGGGGGGGTCTTCTCACCTGACGACCAGCCACCACAGATGGCACAGAGGTGCTTCCTGAGCATCATGGCCCTCATGCCCAGGAAGGGTTTCACATCATCGAGTGGAGCCCCGACAGGTTCACTGTGGAGTTGATCTGGGGGGCTGCTGACAGGGCTGAATTGAGATTGTATACTACGGGTAGCCAACATGAGCCCCCCCCCCAGACATGTGACCGCAGCTCTCGTCCTCCCTGACTACTGGCCATGTTGGCTAGAGCTGATAGGAGTTGTAGTCCAACAACATCTGGAGGGCACCATATTGTCTACCCCTATGATATGCACAGGTCACGTATTTGCTTTGTTTATGTAAAATCAGCTTCAGGAGCAGATGATGGGAGAAGAGAGCGTGTGTTTAAAACCTTCTCACTACCTCCTGGGAAGGGCTATGGCTCAACTGTAGAACATTTGCTTTTCATAGAAAAGGTCCCAGGCTCATTCCCCAGTGTCTCCAGATTGAGTTCAGAGAGAACCACCTTTGAAACCCTGGAGAGCCACTGTTACTCAGCATAGCCAAAACTGAGCTAGATGGACCACTAGTGTGAATAGAAGGCAGCTTCCTATGTTTTTATGTACTGCTTTGTGCTTCAAAATGCCTCCCCCAGCCACTTTTCCAGATGTATGTTTACCCTTGCAAGTGCATCTGGAAGCTTGCAAGAGAGGGAGGGTTAGCATCTTTGAGGGGGATTTTGAGCAGATGGGAAAAACTTTAATTCCTCCCCCAGTGCTCCATTCTAAATTGCTGCCTTTCTGAAACTGCTTTTCCATACACAGTGAGCATTGGATTTTAAAAACAAAACATTGGCAGGTAGCCTCTAGAGCGGCCATCAGGATGTGTAGGCTAAACATTGCAGGAAATAACAACAACAACAGCCCAAACAATTGGGGACAAAATCATGCATTAGTGGCTTTGGAAGGTTTTATCCTTTCCTTGTGGTGGGTTGCTCAAGTTTCTGCAGCTATCCATTCTGCATCGACCTGAGTGTGGTCAAGTTTATCATGTCCATCCTGAACTGTGATCTGGATGGTGGGGGTTAGTCTGTGTAGGGCTGATAACATCAAAAATCCTCCTTAGGGTAGGAGTTGTCAATGACCTGGTCTGTTCTAGTCCTATAATTCTAAATTTTCTTTCCTGAGGCATCACTGGTTTTTCATGATAGCAAAAATTGTGTTAGCACAGCCTGGCCACAATTTATGGTGCCAATGTTTAAACTCATACTGACCAGTTCAATTGGAATGTCACAGGCTGCAAATTGAGCTGAACGCCAAACAGCATCAGCTGTCAGAGAACGACAAATTACTACACTCACTGCAACTGGAGCTGAAGGTATACGAAAAGTTAGATGAAGCAATCAGAAGTCAAAAAGGTATGAAACAATATGATCTTGGTGGTAGGTCCCACTATATGCTCCCTCAGAAATTCACACAAGGCTTTTGCTTTTCCTGCTCAGTTCCTACATTTCAATTGCTGCCAAGATTGGATGCCTATCCTCTCCATTCTGAACAGAGGAGAGATGCTAGGTACTTCTCTCTTGGAGCAAGTGCTTTGGTGGCTGATGTTGGTGCTTTATTCCTCTTTGATAGAGCTGCTGATGAGGCAGGAGAGGCATGCCCACACCTTTTGTGGTCATGTCTCTTCTGTGTGCTTTTAAATGTGGCAGACATTTTGTGTTATACTGTGCCTACGCAACAGCTGTTTTGTGGCTTGGTGGCTCCTGGGATGCAGGATGCAAACTTTTACTAAATGCTTGCAGAGAAATGTGTAAGCACTAATTCATCCAGATGTACCCACCTGGATCTCACCCATCACTAAGTTTAACTAGAAAATGGCTTCTGCCAAGGAAACCAGTCGTGCCATTTTGCTCATTCTTATGTTTGCTGCATCCTCTTCCTCTGTTCCTACAGCATTCTCCGTTGATATTCAAGTTTGGGAATTCCTGTAAGCACAGGGAAACCAATGGTTAGCTACCTGTCACCCATAGTTTCATTAGAAAGCAAGGTGATTTTTACATTATGGACCACTTGCTACTCCCTGGTACTACCCATCATGCACCCGTAATGGGGAAATGAAGGTACCATGTATGGGGGTTTATGTGAACCTCATGCAAGTGCACCGCAGATCCAGGGGTGCAGCAAATGCAGATTTAACCTCTCTGAAGGGCATTTGTTTCTGTTCTGCATCAGAGAAGCCATAAAAAAAAAAATCATTTTCTTAGAGAAGCTTTTAAATCACCATTTGTCTGGGCCAAATGCATGCTGGATCCTCTTTCTTTTAGGCTGCAGAAGACCTAACATCTGTCAGTAAAATGTTTGGACTAGTTAGATTAGTGAACTTCTTTACATGGCTGTGATCCCAATGCTTGTAAAACATTTAGCAATTACATGGCATGTCACTGGAAGAAAGAGAAGGAAAAGAGAGAGAATGATAATTTGGGGGGGGGGTAACACAAATTCTAGAATTTCTCATCCTAGAGTTGATCCTTCAAGTTCACTATCAGAAAACAGCTAATTGGGTTCAAGTAGCCCCAATTATTAGCAACAAACAGGAAAGGCAATGAGCTTTTAATTGTCTCTGCATAGGTAGTTTTAAAATACTGCCATTTGGCCTGTGTTCTGCCCCTGGCATATTTCACAAAAATGCCCAGATGATTAAGAGAAACTTTCCTCTTCATTTTTACAGTAGTAAGTGTGACTGTATTAGAAGGCAAGATTGGACACAGTTGAGCAGGAAACAGAACCTGCATTTCCCACATCTAAGCCCAAGGCTGCTTTCATACCTCCATTGATGAACTTAGAGCTGAGGCAGAGGGTTAAAAAGTGAGCTGTTACGATTTTAGCTGCAAGGGAGAAAGGTGTTCCTGGAAAATAATGCTTAGCATTCCAACCACAGATATGGCCCATCTGTTTATGAAACCACAAACCTTTGCCTTTTTGGCAGATTAAGAATACCTGGGATTCTCAGTTCCCATGATTAAATGTTGTCCAGGCTTTTGATGAAACTGCCTTCATTTTCAGTATCTACTCTTCTTTCCGTTTTTTTCTTTTTCATGCCATGCTTCCAAATGCCCTTCAGGATATATATCCCCCAGTCCGTTAATATACATAATTTTACCTTGGGTATGCAACATTAGCTTTTACGGACAAAGTGATTTTTTAAATTTATTTTTTTGGCTCTTATTAAATCTTTGGAGGATAGAAGTAATTAAGGTTGGAGAGGGGTGTGTATTTGTGTGCGCAACCCTCTTCCCTTTTAAATTATTACCATCTACTGTTTGTAGTAGTTAGTTCTTAATATCTGGCTCAAATGCACTCATCCAGCATGTTAATAATGACTCTTTTCATTGTTTGCAATGGTAATTAAAAACAAACCCCAACTCCTAAGATCTTGGCCGTGACGGATCGGATGAATGCTGGAAAGATCAAAACCATCCACTTGACTTGCATGAACTATTGACTGAAATACAGAACTTCAGAATGCAGCTTGAAAGGAGCATCAAGGCAAACAAGACGTTGCATGAAAAATTGGAAGAACAGCTTTCCAGAGGAAAGAGAGAGGGAGACAGCTTGGGGTCAACTGTAAATATCGGCTGCCTTTTAAAGCAAGAATTGCAGCATTACACTGGGATAAACGGTATGGTGTATGGTGCACAATCAGGTTTTTTGTGTTGGTTTGATGGGGTTTTCCTCCAATCCATTTTGTTGGAAACATGTGCTGAACTGAACGCATTTGTGTGCTGTGTTGTTTGCTTCTATCCCCTCTTCCCACCAAATCTAACCTAGAGGCAGCTTGAGATTTCAAATGGAGGGAGGTCAAAATACAAGCTCCCCTAATTCAAAAGAGTGTCCCCATTGAGTCTGATCCAGCTGCCCCCCTTTTTTAAAAAAAATTATTTTTATTTAAATTCCAATACAAGATTTAAACATACATATTTAATATTATCACAGATACATAATTTTGACTTCCTTCAGCTCATCCGTGAATCTTCCGTTTTCTAATCTTCTATCCGCAATTCTAAATTTCATCATTGCCTTTTATTTTAAATAAACCTTTTCCCTTATTCCCTTTTTTACAGTGTTTCTAATATTATTTCTTCACAAAGCTTCCTGTAAACCCACAAACATTATTTGCGTATCACAAATGCTTTTCATATAGTCCACAAATTTACTCCAGTCCTTGGTAAACTTGTGATCTCATCAGTTTCGGATCCTTCCTGTTAATTTATCTAATTCTGCGTAGTCCATTAATTTCATTCTCCATTCTTCTATCAATGGTAATTCTTCCTGCTTCCATTTTTGGGCCAGTAGTATTCTTGCTGCTGATACTGCATATAAAAATAATTGGTCCTTTCTATTTATTTCATTTCCAACCATTCCTAACAAAAAAGCTTCTGGTTTTTTAACAAATGTATATTTCAACATTTTTAAAAATTCATTATATATCAATTCCCAGAAGACTCTCACCTTTTTACACTCCCACCACATATGATAAAATGTTCCCTCCTTTTCTTTACATTTCCAACACTTATTACATACGTTATACATTTTTGCTAATTTAACTGGAGTGATATACCATCTATAGACCATCTTCATCATATTTTCTTTTAATGCAGTACAGGCTGTGAATTTTATCCTTTCGTTCCACAATTTAGTCCACTCCTCTAATTGTATATTATACCCAAAATCTCTGGCCCAATGGATCATAACCAATTTTACCTCTTCGTCTTTCATATACCATTCTAGCAGCAGTTTATGCATTTTAGACAAATTTTTGAATTCATTACTCAATATCTCACTTTGAAACTTTGACTCTTTTTCTGAAAAATCTCTCTCCTTTATCTCCATTTTAAACATTTCATTAATCTGATAATAATGCAACCAGTCGTTTACATGTTCTTTAACTTCTTCATATGGCTTTAACTTCCATTTTCCTCCTTCTTTAATAATCATATCCCCATAAGTTATCCACCCCCCTCTCATATTGATTTTCTTCACACTCATCACTTCTAAAGGCGATAACCAATGCAGTATTTTTGGTTCTAATATGTTTTTATACCTATCCCAAACTTCCAAAAGAGACCTTCGAATGATGTGGTTTTCAAAACCTTTATGTACTTTTTTCTTATCATACCATAAATAGGCGTGCCAACCGAATCTATTATCAAAACCTTCCAAATCCAACAGTTCCTTATTCTCTAATTTCATCCACTCCTTCAACCAACAGAGGCAAGATGCTTTATAATATAATTTCAGGTCCGGCAGGGCGAAGCCGCCTCTTTCTTTCGCATCAGTTAACAGTTTAAATTGTATTCTTGGCTTCTTACCCTGCCATATATACCTTGAAATTATTTTTTGCCATTCCTTAAATATCATTGCCCTTTTGATTACCAGAATTGTCTGAAATAAAAATAACATTTTCGGCAAAACACTCATCTTTATCGTCGAAATCTTTCGCCTTTTACCAGCTGCCCCTTTTAAACCTGATCCAAAATGGAGATGGTACCCTGCTGCTACCCAGTAATCTTTGCCAATACCTACCCCACCCAAAGAATGTGTCCTGGTGTTAGTTCCAGCTAAAGAGAGGCCTTCCAGGGCAGTGTGTGTGTGTGTGTGTGTGTGTGTGTGAGAGAGAGAGAGAGAGAGAGATCCCCACTGCCTGTAACCACCTCTCCTCTGCCTTTTACCACCACCAACCCAATTTTTGTGCATTATCAAAAGCGTGATTGAAGAGCTCAGGATTCTGGGGGCGCTTGCCAAGAATGCTGCTAGAGCCCAAATGGTTTTGTGGGGTGCGGGATTTTGCAAGGGCCTCACCAATCTTTGCAGGGGTGTGGTTGGACATCACTAGTCTAAACCTGGCAATTCAGCCTTTTTTGAACTCTTTGCCTCAGGAACCTCCAGCTGTTGGAGGCAGCATGCCTCTGAACGCCAGTTGCTTTGAATACTAGTGCTGGGGAGAGTGCCTGTGGGCTTCCGATGGGCATCTGGTTCACCACTGTGAGAGCAGGATGCTGAACTCTGTGGCCAGGTCTGTGGCCTGATCCAGGAATGCTCTACTTATATTCTTACGTAACCATTCATATGTTTTGCTTTGGAGGTGGGGGACCAGTTTGCCAGCTATAACTGTTACTGTAGAACTGTTAAATTCAGTTTTCAAACAGTTTTGCTTACCTGAATGACTTGTTACTTGCACAAGCATTTGCTTCAGGAGGCCATGCATTACTCAGGAACAATCAATATGTGCTTTGGATGGTCTGTGAATAAATCAGCAGAATAAATTTTATGCCCTAGAGGAATATTTTCCCACTATTTGCATTGAGATTCAGTGAAGTACTCTAGCAGTTTGAAACTTAAGGGGAGACAGAAGTAGCCACCATGGAAATCTGAATATTAAAAGGAACATCCAGAGCATTGTAATGCCATAGAACATAATGAATGCCCTGTAGCTCAGAACACTACAGAACAAATATTGCAGCTCCATTGACTGGCTTAGTCTTGTACTTTTGACCTTGCTGAGTAGAGCTCAGACAAATGTAGACAAATCTACAGGCGTGAAGTTACAAGTTTACAGCAAATTTAAATTTTATGGTGCAAGCTGGGTTACCTTTGTAGGAAATAAATTTGAGATGCCCAGCTTTGATTTTTAGTGTGTCTGTGTGAATCTTAGGGGTTGTATCCTGTGTTAGCACTACTCAGAATCAGGGTGGATTTAAATCAAATTGTCAGTAAGACTTGATTTAAATCATTTTTTTTACAGAAATACATTCTTGCTGGTATAATCTTAATATTTACAAGCAGATGAAGGTTTCTCTTTGGAATAATAAATTTTCAGAGTAGTTTTTACAGTTATATCAAAAACTACTGATTTGGTTATACTATTAGAAATACATAGATAATTATGAAATTATTGTGAGGTTTGAGTTAACTGTTAATATTTGGACAACTTTTCTTCTGTACTTTATTGGAAGGAGAAAAATAATAATTTCCTTGATAACAATCTAAACAATTTATTTAACTAAAACAATAAGATTATAGCATATGTATCCATGTTTGTTAACCCATGTGGTTAAACAATTTAAAAAAAAAAACACCCTGTGTCAGATAATTAACTTATTTGCTTTTTACAGCACTATTAGGGAAGTGGAGGATGAACACTGTTCTGGCTCCTAACCTCTTAATGACCCTCTGCTCCTCTTGATTCCCAGATCTTAAATTCTCTTCTATGGACAGCAATGTCATTGAATTGCAACGGAAGTACGGAACCTGCATAGCGCCATGGAATGCAGGTACTGTTAGACTCTGAAAGTATCTTTAATATACCTTCCAGAGTGAAGACTGTGTCTCCCTGGGATTTCATGATAATACAAACAGAACTTAAGAAGAGCCCTGTGGGGTCAGAGTTCAGCATTCTGTTTCCCACAGCAGCCAATCATTTGTCTCCAAGAAGCTCATAATTAGGGCATAAAGGAAATCATTCTTTCCCAATGTTGCTCTCTGCTAAATCTGAAAGCTCCATGTTGGTCATCATAACTAGGAGCTATCAACAATCTTAACCTCCATTAACATGTCTGAAAAGGTAAAGGGACCCCTGACCATTGGGTCCAGTCGTGGCCGACTGGGGTTGCAGTGCTCATCTCGCTTTATTGGCCGAGGGAGCCAGCATACAGCTTCCGGGTCATGTGGTCAGCATGACTAAGCCACTTCTGGCGAACCAGAGCAGCGCACGCAAACGCCGTTTACCTTCCCGCCAGAGCGGTACCTATTTATCTACTTGCACTTTGCTGTGCTTTCAAACTGCTAGGTTGGCAGGAGCTGCGACCGAACAATGGGAGCTCACTCCATCGCGTGGATTCGAACCGCCGACCTTCTGATCGGCAAGCCCTAGGCTCTGTGGTTTAATCCACAGTGCCACCCTTGTCCCTTTAACATGTCTAATTATGTTTTTATAGCTTCTCCCCACTCAAATAAAATTTGGAGTGTTTTGATGTGAAAATATTAAATAATATGGCATTCAGTGCATTGTTACTGTATTATTTCTATGCCCAGGGACTGAATTCTCTTCTGGGCAACATTCCAGGTTGGGAGTGTGTGTGCACATGCCAGTGAGGGGTAGGGCCAGAGCAAAAGTGGATGGAGCAATTAATGTAAATTTTACCGTAGTACAATACACTGGTTTCTACACACACTCAAACTATCTCTCCCTGTCCCCCACTCAGGCAAGCAGGAGTCATTATCAGAGTTCAACAACATACTCCAGCCAGTTAAAAAGGATGCCAAGCAGGACTGGTGAGGGGTGTGGTGTGGAGAGTGTTTTGAGAGCCAGATGGAGAGGCCTGGAGGGCTGCTTTTGGCCCCTGGGCCTGAGGTTCCCCACTTCTGATTTAAAGTGATTTGTAGAAAGAGGGAAAGCAAAGTCATTAAAGAGTGCAAGAAGGGGCTGAGTTTCATGTGCAGATGTTGCTTAGATATGCTGAGTGTGATCTGGTCGCTCTGCTCCTGTGCTCCTCAGATACAGAGCTGGCTGTGGATAAATCAGACAGTTCCTCCCGATGCAACTCACCAGCAAACCATTCCAGTGACCCTTGCCTTGTTCCCAGCCATTGTGTGTGGGCAGACAAAAATGGCCGGCACATCCTTGGCTTGATCGAAGATTATAACTCTTTACGGAAGCAAATCTTGGAAGGGCGAAAAAGGTTGTCTGAGCTGGAACTTCCTCTGAAAGAAGCAGGACTTCAGGAACTGGGAGTGACGGTAAACACCATGGACTGAGAGCATGATTGTCAGAACTGGGTGCATGATCATTAAGGACACATCTACACCATACATGTAAAGAGCATTGCTTCCTTCAATGAATCTGGGAACTGTAGTTTATTAAGGGTGTTAGGAGTTGTAGCTCTGCAGGGGAGGGTAAGTTACAGTTCCCAGGATTCTTTGGGGGGGGGTGCCATGTACTTTTAATGTATGGTGTGGATGTGTTATATGTTTGCAGTTTCACGATATATGGGTCTTGCAAGGAACCGGAGGCTTCTGGTTACTCTTAAGAGCAAGTTCCCTGCTCCTTCAACTGGTCCCACTCAGTGTTTTCTCCCTTTGCTTCCTTTCCATTCTTCATTTTGGCAGCTCCTTCATTTTGTTCCCTCATCAGTCTTCCAAAAGAAAAACATTTCTGCATTGGCCCCTGATAGTTAGCTTACCATTAAGTAGAACAGTTTAAAGGGTCTGCTAACGGAGAAACATCTATATTGCCTAAATTAATGTCAGGAGTCATTTGACTTTCAAATAGCTTGCCATGAAATGCAAATAGGGAAAGGAAAAAGTATTTTCCAAGTGGCACAGCAAACGTAGTAAATGTAGCCTGTTATTAATGACTGTTATTGATTATGCTAAGTCCCCGTTCCCTCCATACTCACCTTCTTTTTTTGAAGAATACATAATTCAGCTGCCTTTTTCACCTAATAAATTAGTTTGCCTGGCACACAATATACTTGTTCATCAGCCTGAATCTGGAATTCATAGTAAATTGGATTTATTCCATTAATTAAAGCTTACGTTTTCATAATCTTTTAAGGATAAAATGTAACGCTCTTTCTTCTTCTAATTCTGAAATGTAGGTTCCACAGCTGGCATTCCTGAGCAGGCTTTCTACAACCATTTGTGCAATCCAGCATAACCTAGAAGAAGCTGCTCGTTTGTTGAAGCTCCTTTGGAGAGTCTCCCTCCCAATGAAAGTTGTCCACAATGTCGGTTATGCGTTTCAGGTCTGTGTGCTGGTGTTTCGATCTTAAAAGTTGGGAGTGCACCAAACGGGAGTGCTTTCTGCTGGCCACTGTCAGGAAGGGAGTTTCCCAAAGAACCTTTAGTCCCAAAGTGCTGTTTTTGAGTGCCAGCAAAGAAAGCCACAATGGTTTGGAAAAATCACATACAAGCAAGAGAAAGAGTAGAAGTGTGCATAATGTGTAGGTAACCTGTAGCCCTCCTGATGTTGTTGGGCTCCAACTCACATCAGCCCCAAACAGCATAGCCAATGGTGCAGGATGCTGGGAGTAGGAGTCCAGCAATGTCCAGAAGGCCACAAGTGCCATCACAAGCTTCTTTGTGGGGCGGGGGGATAAAAATTGGCTCAGCCTGTTGCCACCTGGCTAAAAAAATTCTGCTCTGGTGCTTTTAGCAGGATAAAAATAGGAACCTGCTGGCAACACCCGTGTCAAGCTTTGATGGTTTAACCTTGGAGACCCTCCCCTCATAGGCAGTGTTCGAAACTCCCATTGTTCTAGGCGCAGTTCATTAGCAGAAGCAGTTTCTGAGCTCTGGGCACAGTGTTGCACCTAAGATTTCAGATTAAAACTGCAGAGTGGACCTGCAGAGATGACCTTTTTTCTGCCTCCTCTTCCAGCTACTCACTGAAGAAGAGACCCCCTTAAGAATATTGGGAGGTGGGTGGGCAGGGGAAGGACTAGATCATGTGAAAAATGAACATAATATTGTAGCTACAGTTCATTCATTTTCAGCTTTGTATTCTTGTTATAAAAAACCACACGCCTAGACATTCCACTGTTGCGTTCATAACCTAGGTTTAAGGTGCCCTTTAGCTCCTAGCTTTCATATCTCTGTTTCTGACACTGCTCCTAGGCTGTGCTCAAGCAATAGATATCCTGTGGTCCTTCATAGGTTGCTGGACTCCAACCTCTGTCTGTCCCAGACAGCATGGTCAATAGTGAGGGATGCTGCAGTTGGAGCCTAGCAACACCTGGAGTGTTACTGGTTCCTCATCATCAGTATGGAGAATTTGGATAAAATAATGTTTGTGCCCTCTCTCAGTACACTAGAACTTGGGGGCGGGATCACAGAATAAGTTTTTTCCTAAGAAATTTGTGAGTATTTCAACTCCTGAAGGAGTAGTTTTTAACTCTGAAATGTGTAGAGTAACAGCAATGAACATCATTTTCCAATAAGCCCCAGAGCTTGTCTCCTCTGCCCAAGTCCTTCATACAGCACAGGATTAAGTTTTGGGGTTTGCTTTTGCCATTGTTGTTGGGCATGATAACTAAAATGGCACCTCCAAGTTTTACTGCAGCAGTTTTGGAAGAGGGCTGTTCATGCTCTGTTTTTGGCTGCCAGAAGCATCTGGCTGACCCCAATTGCAAATGGGATGCTGGTCTAGACAGACCATTGGTTTGATCCAGCGGACCTCTTCTTACATAGAGAGCAGAATGTTCAGTAGAGTGAAGAATAGAGAAGAGAAGGGCTTTTCAGGTGTGTTTTTTTTGCAAGGATGACCATTCTGTAACAGCAGGCACCTTCTTGTCCTGTGAGCTAATGGCAGGAGGTTAGATCAGGGATTGAGAACCTTTGGCTCTGCAGATATTGCTGGACTACAACTCCCATCATTCCTGGCCATTGGCCATGTTGACAAGAAATTGTAGCTTAGCCACATGATGGTCATGGGTTAGCCTCCCCTTCTCTAAGCACTGGAGAGCCAGAACACCAAATGATGTTGGAAAGTGTCGTAACATCTCTGCCTTGCCAGCACAATATTGCATTTGGGCTGCAAAAGTTTGGCTAGATTTGTTTTGCTGATCTTAGTTTATTCAGACCCAAACCTTTCTCAATGGCAGGATCTACGACACTATCCAGAGCTCTGTAGGGCTGCCACATACATATTCGTGCATGTGACCATTTTTCACTCAGTACTACAGCAGAACCTTGGTTATCGAACGTAATCCATTCTGGAAGACAGTTCGACTTCTGAAATATTCAACAACCGAGGCACAATTGCCCGTCAGCAAAGTCCATTGAAAAAAGTGGAGAAATGCGCCTCGGAAGCCATTTGACTTCTGAGGCATGTTCCAAAATGGAACCATTCACTTCCGAGTTGTTGGCGTTTGAAAGCTGAAACGTTCGACTTCTGAAGCGTTCAACAACCAAGGTACCACAGTAAAGTGAAATGGGGCACCCCCAGAGGGTATATACACATAAGTGCATGTACCGTGTGGTGGTTCGGAAAGCTTATTCACTTCAGCGTTTTCTTTGTCTTACATTGCAGGATGAACACATGAAAGCAGAAATAAAGAAGCTCCATCGGAAACTGGCCGAGCAGGAAAAGAGGCTGCACTGCACAGTCAAATGCTTACATGCTACCAACCAGCTGAAAGAAAACATGGAGAGAGTCATCATTGATCAGTGTGAGTGAGCTTCCTCTCTTTGTTCCCTTTTCTACTTCTAAGTCATTGTTAAGCCATTGAACTAAATGTAGGAAGAAATCTGGTGCTGCCTGTGGAAACAGGCTGGAAGTTTATGCATCAAATCCTTCAGTGAACCCCAAGCCTGCAGTCTTCCACCAAGGGGTCCTTGCTGAATCCTCTCCCTGTGACCCAACTTCAGCAGGTGGGCAGGGCTGCCTATCTGTCAATCTCCTGACATTGTGACATCAGGGGACTACTTCAAAAGGGCCTGCTCAGAGTGACACACATTGGCTACACTAGGAAGTTCCAGATGGGGTTAATGTTTCACTTAGCATCATTGTCAAGGAACAGTATCTTTGATCCAGCTGAGATTGTAGACCCAGACATGATCATTAATAGATGGTCTGGATCCACTCTTTGTCAGTTAGCTACCAATCTCAAAGTTATTGATTCACTTGGTATTGTGGGGCTGAATACATGTCTATAAAACCCATAGAAATCAATAGTTTTGTGGGTGTGTTCAGGAAGACTATGCATTGTGCATGAGCAGAGAATATTTTCACATCCTTTTTTAAAAAAATAGATGCACATTTTCCTGCTTTATTAGGAAGATGCATTCACCTTCTTCTGCAGCATATTGATGAAGGAACAAACTGGCTCAGTGAACTGGTCCAGCTAGCAATTACCTGCTAAGGAGTAATTAATCTAGCACTGAAAATGCCATATTAGCTCCCCCCCCCCCTTGAAAGGTGCATGAAATGGACCTGTATAAATGTCAAAAGTTAACCATGCCACTGAAATGAAACATGCCTCCGCTTTTGATTTCAATTATTAGTTTTGAAACCATCACAAATATACATTTTTTAAAGGTTAACACACATTCTTTCCCACTGATACATGATTTATAGATTATTTTTAAAAAGAGCTTCTCTGTTAGGAAATCCACCCCCCTCCAAATGTTGCTTGTTAGCTCTGTTTCCACCTCTGTGTTGGATGGTGGGTATAGTAAAATATTTCTCTTTGTGCAGATACAATGCTTACATTTTATAAAAGTACCAAATAATTCTATCCTGCATTAACATATCTAAAAGTATATGCTGGCACCCAGATTCCAGCAGTTAGTGTTAATTATCATAGCTTTAATTGTAAGCCCCTTGGTGCAGGGGCTTATTTCCTTCGTTGTTAAATCAGTACAACAGATGGTCCCATACAAAAAACAAATGTATAATCCTTTATGCAGAACTTCTCGAGATATGAGGTTCTTTACAAGCTTTCTACCCAACTGACTGAGTACATTTCAGTCTTGTCAAGGTTCCAACTTCCCATGGAAAGGCCCCTGGAGACAGAAAATCCTTGGTTCATGTTGAAAGGGGCCAGAATGGGATTTCCCGATGGGGTCCTTGAACAACCCACCCTTTCGCTTCCTTGATTCATTTACCAAAATGTGGGGCGTGCAGTGAGAGGCAAAAAGGGGGCACAAACTGGCCCTTCTCAGCCAAGGTCATCATGACTAAGCTCCTTATTCCAATGATGGATCAACCAGTGACAACCTTTCCTTCATATTAGGTTCTCCCTTTGAAGAGGGGGAGAGGACATAAGAGAGGGAGTGTAAAGGAGCACAAGTCTTGCATTTTGGGCCTTCAGTTTAGGCTAGTTTGTACCATGACAGACAAATGGGTGCTGGACATGGTCACACAGGTTGCTTCATGGGATGAGCGAAGCTTCCAAGGGAGAAATTGATCCCCACTCCCTGATGATCATTAGCATCCAATTCACAATCTACTTGACATCAGAGAAAAAGAACAAGTCCCAGTCTTCCAGAGGTGCTCAGGATTCTGTTCCAGTTGTCCAATCTCTGGACAAGAGCAATTGTATGGCATCAATCAACCTTGCAGACACTTACCTCCATATTATTATTATTATTATTATTATTATTATTATTATGAGCCACTGTATAGTTGCAGGTCTCAGGGCAGTTCACGACATAAAATCACAAAATAAAAACAAAATACATAATAAAAATGAAAACAAGAACATTCCAGGGCCACTGAATTTTTGTGTGTTTCTGCTGTGTAGGCCACCATTGTGAATATAGGGGTCTCCCTTTTGGGTCAGAAGCCATTCCCAGGGTCTTCCCATGCTTAGACAACATCCAAGTCCTGTCTCCAAGCAGAGAACAGTGCATAATGGACATAAACATCACTCTGAACTTCCATCAGCAACACAGACTTGTAAATTGGGAGAAGTGTACACTGGAGCCTTTCCAGCATCACAGAGTGTACTGGATACCCAGGCATGCAGGATGTGCCTTTCTGAAGAACACAGAGCGAATCTCACACTGCTCAGAGACTAAATCCTGGGACAGAAGGAAGTGGACCTGATGGAGTTGGCAAAGCTCCAAGGTGTGATAGTGCCATGTCGTGATCTGGTTTATTGGCCTTGACTCAACACATGACATCTTCAGAGAATGTTTCAACTGCCCATGTCAGGGCTAGCTTTTATTAACAGGCATCAAGGTCTTGGGTTTCTCATAGTTGTGTCCCAATATGTTCATGAGGAATGCTCTCCCACTGGTGTTACCAATTGACTGCTATTCAGATCTGGGACCTTATGGGACTATTGAGCTACACCTCTCGCCTTTGGGGCAAAGCATTAATGAAATAAAGCTGCAGCAGACTATGCATACTTCAATGCCAGAATTTAATTTTGGAAATTCTATGATTTAAACTGGAATTCTCAAGGTGTGCAGTGTAGGGCAGAACAAATCCAGTGAATGATATAGGAACTAAAAGAGGGAAAATTCATCCCTCAAGCAGGCAGTCTTGGAGTCTTTTGTAGGAGCAAGTCCTGTTGAACTCAGTGGACTTAATTTCCAAGTAGCACATGCAGGATGAACATCATAGGAGAAGAACATGATCGTGTCTGTTGGTTAAAAGCGTCATACGTAGTCTGTGGCTCTTTCTTAAAAAGAGCTTTCATATACCCCTCTTTGAAAAACAAAACTAGCATTCACACTCACATAGTTGTACTTCGTTTACAGTGGCTTTAACTCATGATGTCTTAAGGAAGGCACGAGGAAACCTTGAAGTAAGTAAAAAACCCTCTACCATCATTAATTAGCCCTTGCTGTTACGTTCTCCATTTCTCCCTCCCACTGCCTGTTCATCTTTATGAGCAGCAGAAATTTCCTTGTTAACCTGCTTTGCAAAACTGCTGTTACTTGTTCAGAGTGTGTGTGCAGAGGGTATCACATTCCATATGTTTGGGGAAGATAGCTCAGTTTCTACCTGTTTAATGCAATAAACATTCCTTAATAGTTAATGTTCAAGTTGCACATTATGATTCAATCTTTACAGCAATGGCCAAACTAGCTCTGCCTTTATAATTTTGTATGCCTCCATGGTTCATACTGACTCCTTTTCATTTTCCTTTGGCCACTCAGCAGAAATGTAGACAGTGGATTTGAGTTTGTAAACCAGCCATTGTCTTGCCAAAAACAGAAAAGAGGAAGAGGGCATTGTGGCATCAGTTAGTGAGTTGTCTCAACCCCTACCCCCAATCTGTCAGGCTGCTTACCCCTCCTCCAAATTATTAACATATGAAAGTGACTTATGTGAAGGTTGGAAATACCCTGCTGTAGTGCAAGTTTGGTAGAGGAGCTCACTAGTAACAGGTAACACATTCTACATCTTCCTCTTCTTGCCATCACCTGTTCATTTGTCACCCAAGGGAAGGGTGCAGGAGTCTCACTGTCTTACAGCGGCCTTCTTGAGAGTAGGGGGACTGCCAGGTAAATTCAAAGTCTCCTGCATGGCAGCTTCAGCCCTCCTGATCTGTCCGGCACTTTAAACCAGTAGAGCAGCCCAAATGGTCTAAGCAATGTTGTGAGGGACAACCAGCCCCTGAATGTGTACAGAAATCAGTACAGCCCAGAAATCCAATGAAACAGTTTATTTAAGTGGAGTATAGAAAGAGAGGGAAGAAAGAGCAGGTGTTAGTCCTACACAGAGTAGACCCATGGAAATTGATGGATAAGCTAACATAAGTAACTTAATTTCAATGGATCTACTCTGAGCAGCATGGTATAATAATTTTTATTAATTCTAATACAAATCAAATAAAAGCTGCATTATCACAATACCAAATTACAATCCAATTAAAAACAGAGCCAATTATTCAAAAATTGAATTAAACAATTTGAGGTGACTTCCCGTGCACAGGGTTTCAGGCTGTGACGTTCTTATTCCTTCCTGTTTTCATAATCTTTCTTTTTTTTTAAAATAATTTTTATTAATTTTCCAAACATGTAATAAAAACAAACAATAAAACAAAACAAAACATACAAACAAATAAAGATGTATAATTTCCTAAACTTATTTTCCTTCACCTTATTTCCCGGACTTCCCCATACCTCCCTTTTTCTGCATCCTTATTTTTCCCTTTTAACAGCAACCCTTCATTTAATTAATTAACTCATCTTCATTATAATTTCCTTAAATTTATGATTTACAGCTGCAATTCTCTGTTTCTTAACACCATAACATCTCAGCACTCCTCAATGTTACAACAATTTTTAAGGTATATTTTAAATTTCTTCCAATCTTCTTCCACTGTCTCACTCCCCTGATCACGGATTCAGTGGAAGAAGATTGGAAGAAATTTAAAATATACCTTAAAAATTGTTGTAACATTGAGGAGTGCTGAGATGTTATGGTGTTAAGAAACAGAGAGGTGACTTCCCGTGCACAGGGTTTCAGGCTGTGACGTTCTTATTCCTTCCTGTTTTCATAATCTTGATTGATCCATTTACAGCAATTCCGATCTTCATCCTTTATTTATCAGCCACTGAGTTCTTGAGTTTCATTCGTAGTTGCAAATTTATTAACTCTCATTTCTGCAAAAGGAGTTTGTATCCAGTATGTTTCCTGTGTGAGATAATACTCTTGAGTAGCATGTACTCAGCAAGTACACGCACAATCAAGAGGAAAACCAAGCACTACACTGGAACATTGGCCAATTTAATCCTAAAAAGGTAAAGGTAAAGGTACTCCTGCCCGTACGGGCCAGTCTTGCCAGACTCTAGGGTTGTGCGCTCATCTCACTCTATAGGCCGTGAGCCAGCGCTGTCCTCAGACACTTCCGGGTCACGTGGCCAGCGTGACAAGCTGCATCTGGCAAGCCAGTGCAGCACACGGAACGCCGTTTACCTTCCCGCTGGTAAGCGGTCCCTATTTATCTACTTGCACCCAAAGGTGCTTTCGAATTGCTAGGTTGGCAGGCGCTGGGACCGAACGACGGGAGCGCACCCCGCTGCAGGGATTCGAACCGCCGATCTTTTGATCGGCAAGTCCTAGGCGCTGAGGCTTTAACCCACAGCGCCTCTTTTGGTAGCCTCTGGAGTTTGTTGCAGGATGAGGGACAAAGGAGTATTGGCAACATTCCACTTTTAAGCGCTCTAGACCCACGTAGCCTCTGATTGACAGGGGTTTCTGAGCAATCAGTTGGAGTGACTACACAGTAGGTGGGAGGGTGCTGTTAATGGTGCCTTGGAAGTTGGGAGATGGGGCTGCCACATGGTTAATTGCTGCTTAAAATGGTTCAGCTTCCCTGCTAGACTGTAAGGTGTTTTTGCAACATGCACATTGGAAGGGAGACATGATCTCTCAACTTGGACACACTGGAGGACTAGAGAGCTTAGGCACCTTAAAGTAACAGGTTAGGGCAGGGCAATTAAGACCTTTCATAAGTCTACCTCAGTATGGTCTCCTTTGATGAGCAGAGGCTTTGCAGGGTCTTGGGCAACAGTCTTTTCCATCACTTACTGATCCTCTGTTCATGGCGATACCAGGATTGAACCTGTGGGGCCTCTCCCCTCAGTAACTACTTCTTTCAGTTAACTGTTCCTGAGCCGTGCTAGCTCCTTTGCCTTCCCTTCAGGCAGTACTCACTTCTCTGTCCTACCTCAGTGATAACTTAAATTGTATTTTTTGGTATGTTTAACATCTGGTAAGGTGTTTTTGTTTTGTTTTTTAATGATGCATAAATTGCATAAATAAGTAAACCAGGCCTATATGTTTACAATAAGGGTGCAGCTTTCTTTTCCTTGGCATGCCAATTTTCTATATGCTGGGGAAAGCTTCTGGCAGAAGTGGCTAAGCAGTGATGGAATGTTGGAAGCTGCCTTAAAATGGTTCATTTTGCTCAGTATTATCTACATTGTCTTGCAGCAGCTCTCGGGTCTCATGCAGGGGACATTACCAGCCCTGCCTAGAGATGCCAGGGCTTGAACCTGGGACCTTCTGCATGCCAAACAGATGCTCTACCACCAAACCATGGCTCTTCCCCAGCGCAGGTTTTCCATCTCACTGAGAAGTTGGCCATTGTGTTTCCCAAAGCCATTTACTGCCAATTGCTACTATCACTTGTAGTGGTACTTTCCATTAACTTGAAATGTTTCATTCTTCCCTAGGTTCAGCCAGCTGAAAACAAGACATCAGCCTCCAGCCTCAGCAGGAAAAGGGTTTTGTGAAGTTCTGCTTCCCCTAATAAAGACCATTTCCCCCCTACTGAGCCTATTCTTTTGACCTTTTCTTTGGTCTCAAGGCCTTACTGCTTAGTTTACTTCAAGCAGGTTGTCCTAGCAAGGCTGCCAGGCACCCTTGCTAGAAAAACAAGCCTCAGAAAAACCACTTGCTTTAACATATATAACCAAGTTGGGATTCAAATGTTGATGGTGACCACAGCAAGATGATTAAGGACATAATGGTCAGGGACTTCTCTTTTCTTCCTTTCTGGGTCCCTACCCGCCTTCCAGCTGCTGGAAAGCTTCTCTTCTGTATGTTTTTTGAATCATGGTACGAAATGACAGGGCAAAAGGAAAACTCACTGCCACAGCTTCAAGATGGGAGCAAAAGACTGGGTGGGAGTAATTTAATTGTGCCTTGGTGGTTTGCTTGATGTGTTTGTTTGTTTGTTTGTTTGGGTTTTTGTTCTTTGTTCTTTGTTTGAGTTGGTTGTTTTTGGGGAATGTGAGATACCATGAATAATAATCATATTGTTAAATGCATTGTGATTATTTGCTTGGAGGATTTAACTGAAAACAACCTGGTGCACCACACTAAGCTTCTAATCTAGATCATCACGTCAGTCTGATAAAAGGTTGGAATCAAATGTTCTGTTTTGCAAGACTAACTCCTAGCTGTTCTTTCCCCCCTTTTTGTCACAGAATGTTACATCTTCGAAGCAAAGATAACATTTTAGCCTATGGGAATTGGCCAGCTAAAAGTACCCTTGACCAAACACATCTAGCTCAAAACCAAAAAATGTGTATGCTTACCCTTTATTTTTGTGCATCCATTTTTAAGACTGTTTATTCACATGTGGAATAAGTTCCCCCCTTTTCTTCACAGTGTGTGTGAAAAGCACCAGAGCTACCTCTCCACTTAACTGAATGGGGCAATCTCCCCACTCCCATTGTGGATGGAATAGTTTTGCATCAGAGCTGCTACTGCTGGAACATCAAGGTGAAAATTGGGTTGCATACTCTTGCAGTTTGCAGGAGTTGCTTTGCTTAGCTTACCCTTGACTGGAAAAAGTATATGCAGCTGTGAGGACCTAGGAGGATCTTCATAGCAGTATCTCCCCCTGCCTCAAGGACATTTTCCCCCAGGGAACCTATTCCCCTGTGGGCTTTAGATATCAGCAGGGATGGCTAACTTGTTGCCCTGCAGGTGTGGTTGGGCTCCAGCTCCCATCAGCCCCAGCTAGCAAGGTACACAGTGATGGATGTCGCTCGCAATCCATCTGTCTCAAAAGACAATGGAGTGTGCCTCCAGGGTTGAAGTAAAACGGCTGCATCAGCAGCACTAAGCTATCCTCCCTAGGGTGCAAGCCTGGGCAGTGTGTATGGAGGTCCTGGGCTGATCAAATGAAAAGACCCCCCCCCCCCCGGCCTCTTTTCTTCTCCCGAAGATATCCCTTCCCAGGCTGATGAGCCCTACCTTCCATCTTCTGCACGTGCCGAAACTGCCTTCTTGACCGTTTGACCCACTCTTAGTCTCATCCGCTCAATCCACCAGAGCCTGTCTTCACATGCAGGGGAAGTCCGTAACTCACCCAGGGTTGGAGACCCATAGGCTACCCTCAGCTGGTTTAGCTGGGCAGTCAAAGCTGTTTCCCAGGGTGTGGCTACTGCTGCATGTTGACAGCTTCTAGGAGCCACAGGTGAGAGCTGAGTGCAGGGCAGGGACCAAAGGAGGACTAAGTATATTGGAAGGAGCATGACTGTCCCCTATCAGAGGTACTACCACTCCCCTAACACTGCATAAAGGGATGGTGGGAATTGAAATCCAGTGAATATCTGCAGGTCCTCAGTTTAGCTACTGCTGCTCTAAAACATTCCTTTCTAGGTGTTCCTTTTAGATATATTTTAGAAAAATATATGGAATGTGGGTTGTTTTCTGTGTATAGAGAGAGTATTCACTGTATCTCTGAAATATGTGTTGTTTACTGTAACCCTATGTCTTTGTAACTTGATTTGCTGTTTTGTAAACTGCCCTGTACTACATTTGGGGGGGGGTGAGAGAAAGACAGGGTATGAATCTGATATGTTCCATGTAGAAAGCAACAGAATGCTAGACTAGATGGACTTGTTCATCATATCTAGCAGGGCTGCCTTTAATGTTCAAAAAATGGACTTTCCAATACATTTTGCCTTATTTATCTCTTCTCCCCAAATTCAAACAGTGTTCTTCGGAGGGTGGGGAATAGCAACATCTGGAATAAATCTTAGTAATTTGGCTACATTAAATTGCCATATGGGTTGGTATTTGTTGATCCCCATTGCTTGGTGCACCTAGAAATGCTCTATGGAATGGTGAAGTTTAACACACACACAAAATGCCAGTGAAGCAAAAGGGATGTGTTTAACTGAAGTTATTTTTCTTTTCATTACAACTGTAGAAACTAGTTTAGTTAATGTTCCAAGTTGGTAGATAAATGTTATAGGGCCTACCAGCAAGTAAGGAGACCAGAAGGTAGAGAGAAGACATGTATAGATTGCCTACAAGGAAAGGCCTGTATGGCTTTTCCATGTTTCTGAATCTTGATGGCAGACTTGATCCATTTTTAAAGCAAACCTTCAGTTTGCGCCACAGAAACCAGAGATGCAAGAGACAGCTTCCAGTCATCCAGAAGTTGTTTTCCTTCTCCTGGCAAAACCAGCTCACCTCCTGGCTTAGATTGCTGCTGCCCTTCTGTCTCCCACTATTCTCCATTGCTTGGGGGAGGAAGCCGTGGCCCTCCAGACATTATTAGATTCCAACACTCTCCAGCCAATAAGGATGATGGTGTTGCAGTAACATTTGAAAGACCAGAGGTTCCTGATCCCTTCCTTCATCGGGCTGTTATATATAGTATAGCACACAAAACCATATTTGTTTTTCAGTAATAAAAAATCTTTGTTTTTCAATAAAATGTTGAGGATTTATGTTCAGGCTGAGTTTTGTGATATTAGGTACAGGAAACAGATGATGGAGTTGAAAAAATGCATTTCTGATCCAAGTTTATTAATTCAATAAATTTATTTCTTATTTTAAAAAAAACCCATGTCTATGTTGTTTCCCCTAAATCTCCCTCTTCTGACTACAAATCCCTCAAGCTTCCATTGCCCATCTTGCTTTTGCTTCATTGTATCACCTCCTTTCATTTGATCTGTGACCAAAAAAACCACAGTCCTCTGTATCCCTAAATTTCCAGTTTCACAACTGGAGTGGTCTTACACAATTGGCAGTTGTGTGTTATTCTCCCTTTGGGTTTTCTAAATTTAGCCATCTGGAATGAACAGACATTGGGGTTATGTCATCTCTTCGGGATTGAGGGTGCAAGAGCTAATTGCTAAAAGCTCCTCAGTGTCCAAGGGAAAGTTGGACAAGGAATTAGGTTCTCCAGGCCTTCTGAGAGTTCTTCAAAGATAGTTCCACACATTGCAGTAGCCAAGACTGGATGTTACTAGGGCAGGGGTAGGGAACATTTTTCAGCCGTAAGCCTGCATTCCTTCAGGGGCAACCTTTTGGAGGCAACCTGTTTTAAGGGAATGCCCCTTCTCTTAAGTATAGGGAACCAGTCCTTTGCTGGTGTTGTAGAAACAAAGGGTCCTTGAAGGCCATGTAGTCTGACCCCGCTTTTTTTTTTATTCAAGAAATCCAGAGTTACATTAAAGTTTCTTTCAGTTATTTCAACGCAGAAGAGACAGCAGAAAATCTCCATGCTGTGGATGAAAGCAAACGTGTGTGTTTTAATTTTTAAAAGGCAAAAATGAGGTTTAATTTTAGACATAAGCTAATCAAAGGGAAAAGGTAATCCACAGTACATTCCACATTCCTCACAATTGTCTTCCCATTACACAAGCAACATTGAGTTAATTTTACTAAGTAGCTAAATTATAGACACTCAGAGATAATCAAAAATGATGTAAATTCCAACTTTCAGAACTAATCATGCTATGTTTTTTTTTGAAAGGAGTTCACAACACCTGAAAGAAACAGCTGTATAACTATATATAGCACGCCTATCTCAGGCAGTTGCTTCTGCATCCTTTATTCACACCATCTGCACATCACTCACTGACTTTTTTCTTTAAGACCCAGCGCTCATTTCTGTTAAGACCCAAACTCTTGCAATGCCCTGGGCTTCTTGCCCCCCAGCAAAAAGATGCATCATTCCCATATCCCTCACATCCTAGCCTGGACGAAGTTGAGGGGGCCAGAAATGGTCCAGTACTGCAATTGGGTCAGCCGAAGACAGTAAGGGTGTGAGAGAAGTAGCTGGGCTCGAGCTTTTTCATTTTCAAAGGGAACAAAGTAAATCCTTTAATTAACCAAACCTTTTTAGCAATGCACACAACGTATCAGAAAAAAGCACCTTGCAGATTGAAAAGCTGGTATGAAAAGCCCTCTCCCTGCAAAACTTTGATCTAATTAGTTCAGAATTCTTTAAAAAGAAAGAGAGAGAGAGAGAAATAGAGCACTAGGCAAAGATGTGTGCTTTGAGAAGAGCAACATATGTTTAACGAGCAGTAACCTAGAAATATTTGATGTCTGGAGAACACCTTGAGCTGTATCCAGTGCTACTCCTTCCTGCTCAGAATACCGTACATGCTCTGAGATTAATAGACACTGCTAACTTGCATTCATTTATTTCAATGGGTCTACTCCAAGTAGGACTAGCACTGGATACAATCCACTGATAGAATTATATGGAGTGGGTCTGCAGAACCTGCAGCTCTACAGAGATTGTTGAACTGCAAATCCCATCAACCCTGACCATGGGCTAAGCTGGCTTGGACGGATGAGGGCTGAAGGCCCAATACCATCTAGAGGGCCACCAATTCCCTATTCCCAATTAGTGGGTCAAGCCTGGAACTGGAAACTAATCCAGGTCTTGAAGGTCTCGATGGTGAGCCCGAAACCACAAATTGTTCTCAGAACTGGCACTGTGCCTCCTTGTAACATCAACATGCAGCAGTTTTGCTCACAGGGAAATTTCCTTCCAATCTAACTTAAAAGGATGGTTTCAGCCTTCAAAACCCTAAACAAGCCTTCCCCAACCTTCCCTCCAGCTGAATTCTGGAGACTTGAAGGGCCAGTGGTGGAAATGGTGGAACAGACTTTCCTGAAGGTCGAGAGTGGGAGGTAAGCCTTCAAGTGAGGAAGGGGAATTAGTTTCCTTTGCAGTAGGAGGTAGCCCAGGGGCCTTTTTCGTCTTCAGGCATTGTGCCAAGTGACATTTAAATGTAGGTCCTGCCATGTACCTTAAAAGCAAGTTAGGAAATGTTCCTGGAAATGGTGCTTTATCGGTCTTCCCCAACCTTCTGGATATTGTTGGACTACAACTCCCATCATCCATAATCATTTGCCACTCTAGGTGTTGGAATATGCAAACATCTGGAGGGTGGCAGGTTGGGAGGAGGGGTTGCCCTAAACCTAGGATGGGGATCTGGATCTGGCCAGAGAGCTGGATCCTTACCCCTCCCCACCTGTCATGGGCCAGGTTTGGCAGGTGGGCAGAGCCACCAACATCTCAGTCACCCAACATCAATGTCAGGTGACCTTTTTTGCTCACAGGGGTCTACAGAAGCTCCTTTCAAAGCACTGTATTGAGAAATGGTTTGAAAGGGGCTCCTTGAGATCTAGCAACCAGTCTGCAAAGCCAACTTTCAGCCTGCAGAGTTTGTTCACCTGCCCCCAGACCTGATGCCACACTTGGCATTAGCTAGGTGGGCATGGCATGGCTGAAATGATATTGCAGAACAAATGGGAAGCCTGAGAGTCAGAGGCTCCCTGCTGTAAACAGTCTTATTCCCAGGGACCTCCAGGATTGTCTGTTGCCATATCTACCTACCTGGGCTTTTAAGACCTGCTTCAAAGGCCTCTGCTCCCTGGCATTGTCATATTCAGTAGTCAATCAGATGAGGAGACGCATGATCTTCTTGATAGTGGCACCAAGGTTCTGGGATGCTCTTGTCTGTAGAAGTTCCCCAGACTGTGTTCCCATAAGTTCCTCCACTTTTCTTGTGACCACCAGCCCCACCCTGTTTAATCTCAACATAAATAATGCAGTTCAAGAACTTCCATCTTTCTCCAAGCCCCCCAGGTCCTAGCCCTCAACTGGCAATCAATAAATTCCAGTAGTGCTTTATCTTCTTCTTTGGCGATCACTCTTAGCCGAGTAAGATTGTCTTCCATGAGCACAGTTTTAACAATGAGTCCGTAAGTGACTGTGAAGGCCAATTCTGGATCCACACATCCTTCCACAGTGGGGACACTGGTTTCCGGGTGGGAGTTGATCACAGTGTGGATTTGCCAAGCGTGCCTTCCTCTTAGCACGTTTCTCCCTTGTGTCCTGAGTTTGAGTGTCTTCTTCAAAGCCCATGACACCTTTGGTAAAGGCTGTTCTCCAACTGGAGTGCTCACAGGCCAATGTTTCCCAATTGCCTTCAGACAGTCTTTAAACCTCTTTTGCTGACCACCAGCATTATGCTTTCCATTTTTAAGTTCGGAATAGAGTACAGTGGTACCTCAGGTTAAGAACTTAATTCGTTCTGGAGGTCCGTTCTTAACCTGAAACTGTTCTTAACCTCAAGCACCACTTTAGCTAATGGGGCCTCCTGCTGCTGCCGTGCCACTGGAGTACGATTTCTGTTCTTATCCTGAAGCAAAGTTCTTAACCCGAGGTAATATTTCTGGGTTAGAGGAATCTGTAACCTGAAGCGTATGTAACCTGAAGCGTATGTAACCCGAGGTACCACTGTAGTTGCTTTGGAAGATGATAATCAGGCACCCGCACAACATGTCCAGTCCAACAAAGTTGATGTTGAAGAATCATTGCTTCAACACTGGTGATCTTTGCTTCTTCCAGTACACTGATATTAGTTCGCCTGTCTTCCCAAGTGATGTTATATGATGCAGCAACTTGGGGTAATTCTAGTAGAAACAGATTTTATATAATCCAAAATATGTTCCAGTGCATATTACTTGCAGGTCCACTGAGAACACCTAATGCAATATTTTAGAACTGATGTAGGCATCCCTTCTTTAAATGCACATATTCATAAATCCACAGTTCTATATGGGGACCGGGGGACCTTACCCTAATGTCAGGCCACCATTTAGCAAAACTGGTGGGAGGTTTTCTTTCTTCTTTCTTAAGAACTGAACAACTAAGGCAGCTGGCCATAACACTGTAACTTGTTTGAGGTTGTGTTGTTCAATTCCCCCTGTAATTTCATTTCAGGATGTTTCTGACTATAGGATCCATGGTATCATTTTTCATGAATATGCCAGAATGGACTTTAAATGGACTTTGGGCATGTTAACATTTTTAAAAAATATTTTATTTATACTTTTCCATTGCAGTTTTTCACATTTCAGTATATCCATAATCATCAACTTCCCTCCCCTCCCTTCCATGGTTCCATTTATTTATCCATTACAACTGCATATTCGAATTACTCCATATGTTTAATTTTTCTCCTTACTCCCTATATCCTCAAGGGCATGTTAAAATTAAACCTGACCCTTGAATGGTTTGTTAGCAGCAGCAATTAACTCCCGCCCTCTGCTCCAGTTGAACTTGTGTTTGCTCAGTTTAGATGTCAGATTATACCTACAGAATATTTGACCTGCAAATTATTTGATAAGCCAATGAATTACCTTCTTGGCATATGTGGATCAGGCCAGATCAAAGACATAATGCACTTAATCCTGAATTGCTCACCTAGGGATAGATTCCTCTATTAATTTCTGAATTATCTTCAAGGTCAATCAGATGCTCTCAAAATTAGATGGCTGGTGGCTGATGCAGACACATTTGTTAGCTAAATGGTAGCTTTATATGCCTTGGCAGTGAGAAAGTGACAAGCTACTTCTTTGAGTTAAAATGATGCCAACTGCCAAGAGGATTTTTAAAAATTCAATGATTTGGGAAAATTAACAT